AAAGACAAAATATTAAGGTACACATTGCACAGCAAAGTGCAGTTACATTATTCTACTAAAAACCTTACAGCAACAATACAGTATGTGAGACGATCAAAGGATTATGAGCAGAAAAGGCACATATGAATAGTGACCTCAATGACTAATTCAAATGCATTGTAAAATAACTGAAAGAGTTTGGCACCTGGGTAGTTCCTGCACCCGCCCGCAGACACGCCTCTCCTCCAGGTCTCTTCAAAGTTAGACTCCGCCCACTTCTTGTACTCGTCATTGGTCAAGGCATCCGGAGTGAGGTTACAGATCTCCACACGGGAGTACTGGCGCAAAAAGTCAGAAAATGACATCCTACAAGAAAAAAATATTTTTATTAATTAATTCAATTTTTGTCAATGTTAATTTTTAAGTTTGAGTGTCACCAGAATTCTCCATCTTCTTTCCGATTAGTCAGTCTCTCTCTGTCATCATCACTCACACTTCTCCACTCATAAGATCTGCAAAGTATAAATTATAAATGTTGCAATGTTAAATTATGATCAAAGTGAGAAAAATGTATAAATAGATTGAAAAAATTGACAGTTAACAGGAGCAGGGAGATGCCCATAATTTAAAATCTCCACTTGGTAATTTTAATACAATATTTACGGTGGGTGTGGTGCACTGGTATGACAAGAACACACAGTCATACAAAGAACATACCAGTTTAGCCTGATGTTACATAAGATTGCATCTATATGGGCTTGGCATACAAACAAATACAATACAAGGAAGCTTACTATTTTAAAAGTCATGCTTAATTCTGAAGATATTAAAAATTTGTGATGTAGACTCTGAGGGTTTGCCCTTTGACCGGCCGGTTCGAGTTGTACTTTAAGTGTTTAATGTCTTTGGGACTGCCTCTAATCATTATTTGGCACCGACTGACTCATATGTATCCCTATAACTGTTATCTTTGAATTAATCTCAGTTTAAGTCTTTGTTGTCACCACTTACGAGTCACTCCATGCTCCGTTCCACTCGACTTGTCCCCACGGGTTTCTAACGCGGATAAGCTGCACAGTGTCACCTCTGTACTCCACCTGCAACAAAATAAAAATGAATTCATGTTTGTGATTTAAATGAAATGTATTCAAATGTTTTAAAGTAACTATCACTCTTAAACTATTGTCTGGAAAAGGGGACAGACGATTACAATTCTTTCTGTTCCTTTTTAATAAATTTCTTGTATGTTTAATTTTATGACACTGTTGAAGTTTTTTTTTAATTTATTTTATAAATGAAATTAAATAAAAACATGAGCAAATTGTGTTGAAAACTAAAATGCTTAAAAGATCCAAGCTAGATAAGTATATATTGATAAGATAATGTCATATTGTGGAATATTACAGAGAAAGCAGTAACATCTCCATGGATAAAATGGTTACATTTTATGTACACTTGGTGTCATATGTTAAGAAATATTTTTTTCTGTAAGACTTTATCTCACCTCATCTGCTCCTGTCACTGAATATGCATGGCCTTTCACCAGTTTGCGAGATGTTACGGCTTCTTGGTCATTCATGCTTGTAATCTGGACAAATAAGATATAAAAAAATTATTATTAAAAACAATGTGATAATAGGAAAGAAAATGTACTCCCATCTCACACAACTCACATCAATGGAGCAGCCGAGAAGAGAGCCTCTCTCCAGCGCCTTCTGGATTATTTTGAACAGGTGAGGATGGGGCCGGTTGAGGTCATGATTTTCAGCGATGCCTCCAGTGAAGTCCTCAAAACCTTCAGTTGTGCTGCCTCCAGAGAGGGCCTCGTAGCATCCATTCAACCTGAAAATTAGACAGCATAAGGGTTATATGGACATATTTACCAAGTCAAATTGTGCCGTTTCAGATATAACATTGCACCATTCTCTTCTTAGTTTTTAGTTAATAAAAGTTTTTTTGTTAGTTTTTTTTTTTTAAATAAATTGTTTTTTGGATTTTAAAGAAGTTAAAAAATGCATTCCCACTGCTAGTCATGTGTCTCATGTTTAATTGAAATAGTGAAGGAATCTTTAAAACCTGCCCCATTTTAAATTTAGATGCCATATCTTGAGAATGCACAATCACATCTGATCTCAGAAATTAAGCTTGGTTAATACTGGGATGGTGGACTGCTGGGAATACGAGGTTTTTAGTGAGGTAGCAGTGGCTTTAGTGCAAACTGTTCTGTCCTAAGGAAAGAGACTTAACTCACATTGCCTAGTATCCATGTGGTGTGTGCGTGAGTGATTGGGTTAGTGAGTTAGAAGGGCTGATGGTGCAGATCTGCAGATTTTGGTTTATGATTTTAAGGGAAATACATTCATAAAAGCCATAAAGACATCCACAATTTAATTTTCTTCTGGCTCTGATAATGCTTGGTCAGTTAGTTAGATACAGTTGTTCATATGAGATTGGTTGTTATTATTGACTGATTGACTGATTTGTAATTCTTACTTGGCGTAGGCCTTCTCCAGTAGCGCGCTCCAAAACTCAGAGCCCTCTTCAGAGTGAACAAACAGCAGCTCACCATCCTTTGTGGGTAAACGATCATCCACCACCACTTCCACCCACTGACCGAACTGCCAGAACTGGAAATACACACACATTATTATCTAGTCAACAGAAAACTAAGTTGTAAATAGACCAGATTTTTTGCATTATTTTCTGACAGTTTTCAGAAGTGGGATGACACTTTAAAACATACTTTTCAAAATACATATCAGCATTTATAATTAATGTTTAAAAGCCACAGTCCCTCTTTACCCAGGTTTATGGGGCAGGAACAAGCTTCCTTTTCATTCAGAACAAATATACTTTGGACATTTTTTTGTTAATTAACAAAACCATGTAATTGTATTGTATTGTAATCATGATTTAAATTGAATTCATTGCTTCAGAAGAGTGACTGCACCTGAAAGTGAAAGATGCCAGCATAGTCGTCATCAAAGCACTGGTTGTGTGGGACAACTCTGTGAAGCACCTCTTTGTTCAGAGTCAGAGAGGCAATAGCCGCCAGGAGCCAGCAGTCACCTAAACAAGAATATCCCCATGGATCAGAGCACTTGTTTACATTGGCTCCCTCAGGTTGCATTCAGGATAAATTAGCTTGTGCTTAAATCTCAGCTGGAGAACATGGGCCAATATAACTCTATGGAAGAGGCACAATTTATCTGAAAGGAATACCTGAACAGTCCACAAAAGCTTAACCTGATATATGCTACTAATAAACCTACTATATTATTTATGTGGCTTAAAAGTGCCATGCGTAAGCGTTCTAGTGGAGGGTATGCCGTCTGCTTGTGTCCATGGAGATGTGTTTGTTTTGCCTAGAGTGTTTCACATCATCACATGAAGCTTTTCTTTCTTTATGGACACAAGCAGGTGGTGACACCAGGCCAAGTTACAGGTCAGTTCTATCGAGAAGCAAGCCTGCTTATAGTATGTAAAAAACACTCACAATAATGAAATAAATAAGAGACTGATAGGTGTAATATGACCCAGTGGAACATTTTAGCAAAAGCAATAATATCTCTATGGAGACAAGCAGCTGGCCCACCAGAAATGTTAAGATTTAAGGCTCTGCTGGAACTTCATTTGCCTTCTACTTCTGTTTTGCACTGAAGAATGTTACAAGAAAATGAATGGAATATATGAGGCATGTTTTGGTAGCATGTCTCTGTTGCTTAAGACTTGGTTTTGGTGGTGCAGACGTGGGACTCCTGGTATGCAGCTGACTCACACTGGGTGTACACAGACAAGTGGATTCTCTGTTATTTTTGTAGGACATAGTTTAAAAAGCCCTAAAAAGCTACTATAGTGACAAAGCATTTACAAAAGATTGTATCTGTTTTATCAACGCTGTGAAAGGCTTACCCAAAGCTCCTTGGCAAATATCAGTCCTGGTTGCATCTTCAACAATGAATTTTGGTCTGCGATGGATCTCCTGTGAAAAAAATAAAGTTCAAAGGTTGACTATTTTATGCTTAAAATGGGCGGAAACGTTTTGCACACAACTTGAAATAGTGTTGAAACAAACCAATGAAATTAAGTAAGTAAGCATATGAAGTAAGTAAGTAAGCATAATTATTTAAAGTTGTAAACCTGGGACTTAAAACTGAGTTACAATTTATTGTTTATATATGTTTATACACATTTTTTGATTATGTAAATATATAACTGTGAATTTGAATGTTAACTTTGTTGTACTTTAAAGGTATTTTATCGAAATGACTTTTAGTTAGCCTATTTCCATTTGACTGCCGAAGAAAACTAGCATTTTGGCTAATTCGGGTACATTTATATTATTGTAAAGTTTGTTAATGTGCACTGTCCCACTGAAAACTAAATAAACTAATAAATTGTGACTATGTAACTTTATATTACGAAATACACACTGCAGATTAATTCATAAATCTTTACTTTCAAGAGGACAAACACCAGAAAGGCTTGTAGAGGAAATCCAACCTTGATCTTATTTGCATAAACTGACCGCATAAACTACCACATAAACATGTAATCTTACCGTCGGTCTCTTCCAGGTAACGCCCCTAGTTTTAGCAGAATATGGTCCAAGTTCCTCAAATCCCAGAGAAGATGGTTCAGCGTCAAACAACTCATCTTCAAAAAGCCTCCCACTCTCCAGACAGCTCCTCTTCAGCTCCTCGTAGTCTTGATTTAAGAACTTCACTGCCCTCTTGTTTGACCCGACCCCTTGCGCCTTCAGGCGATTGCGGACCACCTTCTTAACAATCCCAGACATCTTGGAGGTAGAGCTGATAGTTCTGGCTGAGTGCAGAATTCTGACTGCAGCAGGAGATAGGGTAACACAGGTTTAGTGACATGTATGTGGATCAACTGTCTCAGGCCACACCCAGTTTTGTTCCTGCAGCCAGCCTATTCAAATAACCCAGACCAGACAGCAATGGAAACTCACAAGGAAAGATTTGTGCACAGAATAACATTGCTTTTACAATGTTTTTATTTGGCATTTTGCACAGCATCATCATACTTAATATTTTGTAAACATGAGTCTGTGTATTCTTAGTATACAAATCTTGATCTTGTAGCTTGATTGACAGGTTTAGAACAAGGCCAGACACAACCACTGTAAAAGACATTTTAAAAAGTTACATCCATGTCAACTACAAAATTAATACATGAAAATAGTGATTGCACCAAATGTACAATTAACACACTAGCACATTCATAAAAATGAGGTGGGTGACATCACAAGTCTTGCCCACTGACACAACAGCAGTAACCAGTGCAGTGTTTTTAATGAACAAACCTGTTGTATATCCAGCTCAATCTTTCCAGACTCGCTGTTGTCTAAAGCTTTGAAGACTCCTAAAGTAAAAAAAAAAAATCATATTATGGTTAGATACTCTGAATATCTGAATTCTATATTATGTTTATTTAGTTTATCAAAACTAATTAGTACACCAGCATACATAGACACTGAAGGGAAGGCAGGTGTAGTGTCTAGCCAAATGACACGACACCATGCACTGGCTAGAGCTGGAATTGAACTGCCAGCCATTACTTAGACGTTATTGATGCAAGGGAAACTACTTGAACAGAGTAGCTCATTCATCAAAACATAAGGTGTGACTCAATAAAAAAATGCAAAAACAGTAAAATACATGTCAAATAAGGTACAAAAATGCAGATATGTAAATGTACAAGTAGAATTTTAAAAAGTAAATTAATTAAACATATAAATATCAAGACTATATACAAGAGGTTCAATAAATAAATAGTGCAAAAATGAAATGGTGACTTTTGACGGTTATGTATCAACACTTACTGAACAACATTTCCAGTTTTATAAGACATCCCACAAAACTGTCAAAGTCTATGGCAAACTGAGCGTCTGCGTAACGGCTCACGATCACCTGCAGCACTGCACTGTTCAACTGGAAACCTGTGAAAAACACATTAAATTCAACATGCTTCTTCTGTGTGTTTTTGTGCGTTTTTATATTGTGAGTCATTTAAAGGGGTCATATTTCCCGGTCCCTCCCATGTTTGCTTTGTTCAGAACTGGATGGTTCAGTTTGACAACAAAGGTGACGTTAATGGCTTAGCAGTGACACAATTCATGAACCACCAGTGTCTTCATCCAAGGTCTGTGTCTTTCTGTACTCTTTTTCTGTACACTATCTATGTCGCTCCTCCCCTGCCAGCATCTTACACCCTGCAGACTGTCTGTCTCAGTACACAAGATGCCTGCTCATCACTGTCATCCAGTCAGTCTCAGCAATGCTCCTCATGTAGGTTTGTCCTCATGATGGCTCCAGCATCTCCCCATGTCTGAGACATTCTCTGAGCACTCATTTGCTCAAGGACATTCATGGACTTACACTTACATTGCATGGACTTACAGTAGGAGCTTACAACTGTAAATCACAGGGCATTGATTTGCATTCTTCATTGAGCTGGCTTCTAAGCAATTTACTTAATTCAATACTTGCTATTGTATATATATATATATATATATATATATATATATATATATATATGTTTTATGGGCTAGTTTGAAATAGTGCTTGTCTGTAACAATTTTTTAAAGAAACTGACCATCAATTTTTACTAAAATATAATAAGTAGTTTTGAACAATCTCTGGTCTGTTCTGCTTTTATCTGATCTTGCACTAGCTGGACCTATCCTTGACCATGGGTTCCCTAACAGACCCATATAAATAGTCCTGCAGTTATATTGAATACAAATATTATGTAGAGATTGTTACCAGCTTCAGTGGCAGCGTCTCTCATCTCGTGAGAGCTCATGGTGCCAGAGTTGTCTTTATCGTGATTTTTGAAGATCTCCTGTTATCACCAACATACAAATATAACGGTTTAGTAGATGTACATTGATCATTTACACAGAAGTACTCAATATTATCCTACTATCACGCAGGCAACTTGGACTCAAATGCAACACAAAGAACACATTCAAATGATTCTAATTAAAAAACAGGCAGGGAATAAACTCAGAAAAAGGTACTTCAAATAGGTAATAATGCAGAATTGCAAAAATTGCAAACAACTGATTTAGAGTTTCAGATACAGAACTTGCGTGTCTCTTTTGACTGATCAGCAATCTAGAGACTGAATGAACAGAGGGAGTTTATATAGACCCTGGGACGATTAGAGAATGGGTGGCAGCTGTAGGAAAAATGAAGAGGAAGCAAAAGAAGAACCAGAACAGGCTGGGAAATGGAGCTGAAATGGGAAAAACTTATGAACAAAAGGTAGAACTGTGACACCTACCAAGTATCTTTGGATTTTCAGCCAAAGCTTGTGGAACTCCAGAATCCCCAGTTTGGAACTTTCGTCTTTCTGTTAAATGTCTAAGTTTAATACACTAAATTGTATATTTTTGTTTGATTGACACATAATTAAGCATCAGTTTTTTATATAAGGATACATCCAGCAGACTGATAATAGTGCGACAGGTCTCAAGACTGAAACCATCCGTCTTTATGTCAGCTCCTTGAAATAAAATGTGAATGTTGGATTAATTAGCAGTAGCCTATTACAATAACAATAAGCTGGTTTAAGTTATTGTAGGCTACATACGGTGTGAGACAACATTGTTCAAAATCTTCATAAGCTCAAAGACAGACACCTCCATGTCCTGTAATAATGGCACAGTTAGGCTACATTTTGTTCTTTTAAATTTTGTTTTTCTACTTACATCTCCTGCAATATCCTTGAAGATTTCCTTGAAATGAGGATCAATATCACTCTCTGAAATCTCGTCCTGAAAAACAAAAACAAAAATAAACAAATAAAATAAATACATGAATAAAGTATGTGTGTATGTATGTAGGTAGGTATGAACGTGTATATATATCCCTGAGCAAAACATGTAGGCTATGCACAGCTTTAGAGTTAAATTGTTTTCAGAGATTTGGCACTCTTTTTAAATTTGGATGGTATTCAGTACCTACGGTATAAGCAAATTATTTTTATTTATTACATAGACTTTCACACCTCATCAATTTCAGCAACAACTTTGTCTTCCAATGGGCTAAAATGAAAAAGAAAACAAACATTTTGTCATAGTACAGAGAATACTTGAGGGGTTATCCCACTAGATGGCACTGTAGCACAGGTAAAAACATACCTGGTGTCGGCCTGCTTCTCTGAGAACACTCGCAGCACAAACTTGCCCCTCTTGTGCGGACGGAAAGTAGACGGGATGATGGCATATTCTCCCGGGGGCAGCGTGAAGCGGTCACAAATCTCACGAGTGTTCATGAATGTGTGGCTCATGGCAACCGAGTTCTGACGCAGCAGCACATCCGGACCCAGATGCACGTTACCAGAGCCTCTGTACTAAAGATTCAAACTCAGATTTTAGTGGAAGATTTAACTATCTGAAATATTATGTGACAAATGAAAAGAAACTCACCTGCTCTGGGACCTACAGGGTGCAAATAAAACAGCATTACAAAACATTTCAGGATAATAAACAAGCCTTAATACTGATGAAAAAATATCTAATATTTTATCATAGGCAAATCAATATTACTGTGCAGTTTGTGTACTTGCATTATTTACATTACATTTAAATTTTTGGGTGGAGAATGTTACTACCTGCTTGCTTCTATGGCGACCATATTGCTTTGTCAGGAATGTTTCACATTACTGTATAGTTTTAACCTGTCTATCGTGCACTTATTCAGATAGGTGTTTATAAATATTTTGAAATATATGCATTCTTATAAGGTGAGCAGGGTCTGACCAGTAACTTGGCCTGGCATCACCTCTTTGCCTCCATCTGTGATCAAGATGCATAATGCTGTTCTATGGAAAATTTGAGACAAATCAAAAACTTTTATTCAAACAGGGAGTGGACAATTTCCCACTAAAATTAGAGCAGACATATACATCAAATTATGGCTTTGCTTATAAACAAAGAAATTGGTGTTTAATATAGCATAGCGCAGATTATCTGAATCCATGCTAAATATAACTACACTACTTGATGTCTGTGAGCTCATCATGGAGCTGAATGAGGTGAATTGTCAGACATATCTGAAAGTTGCTTTAGAATAAAATGCTGTGGTTTCTTATTTTTCCATAGGTACGCACCTCATAAATGGCAAACCCAATGGGCTCCATGTCTTTCTTGAGTTCCCGCAGTTTTCGTACATCCTTCTGCATCAGTCCTACCAGAAACGTACAGCCCTTCTCCTGCCCGTCCAGAGGGTCATCGTCTACCTCATCCAAACGCACCACGAACTGAGGGTTGGAGGTGAACGTTGCTATGGGAAACCAAAAACAACTTCAAAGGCCAATGCAAGTACATTATGTATGAACACCATATAGCCTACATTTAAAAGATATTATTGCAAGCTGCCCTGCATGTGCAATGCAATTGTCTTAAATTATTAGATCAGATATAACATATAGTGTTTTCTTTCATGGTCCCTTCAAATAAAGACTTTGACATTTTTAAGTATGCAAAACCTTCACCAAATATTTCTTTCAAAATATGAAAAACTGAGAAGATTATGGTATTATTGTATCATACGTTATTATACACATTAGTAAAAATTGCATACTTATTTATAACATTTTGCCTGATTACATCAAATCAAGTCCAAGCAGTTATTCCATTCAGCATGGGATTTAGATTCCTTTTATCTTCAACATTTCGACTTCTTTTTCCCATTCAAAAAATATTTTATTTAAATTTATAATCGCCTTATTTTTTATCATTCTGAAACCAATGAATATGGGTGACGGATTATATTTTTGGTATCTGTGCCCATGCCCAATGATACTGTTTACCTCCTTGTTGTTCTATTGTTAGCTCATACTGTACCTGGGTGGTTGCGGCAGCCCCCAGCGGTCGCCCCCACTATCCACATCCCCTCAAACTGGTAGTGCTTCCACCGCCCCTCACCGTCACTTTCCAAAGGGTCTGGAGTCAAGTTACAAATCTCCAGTTTTGTAAAATGCTTGATAAAATCTAAATAGGTCATCCTGGAACAAAATGATAATACAATAGAATAATAGAATAATACATACATACATACATGCATACATGCATACATACATACACGCATACATAAGTAGAAAATGAGTGGGAAGAGAAGCAGAGAAGTATTGTAAGATGGCAGCTATTGAACAAAAGCACTCTACTACAAATTTACTTTACCAGAATTCCCCATCCTCAGAGACATGGTTCAGTTTTGCTTTTTCATCATCACTGATGTAAGTCCATTCCCTTGATCTGAATTAGAATTTGTTTGCATTGTAAATAATGATGTCATCTTCCAATAATTATTTTAATTGTACTTATAAACACATAGACTTTACCCGTCACTCCAGGACCCAGTCCACTCCACTTTTCCCCAGGGGTTTCTCACTCGGACCAGCTGAACTTTTCTGCCACTACAATTTACCTGTAATCATGCTAAATGTCAAGTACAGGAAACTAAGAAAATATAAATCTTTTAAAATGATTCTGGTGTTTTTGTTACCTCTTCTGCACCAGTGACAGAATATGCATGTCCCTTCACTAGTTTATCAGATGTTATCTCCTCTAATTCATATGCACTGGTAATCTGAAAAAGCAAATACAAACAGGCTGGACTATTCTGAATAAAACAAAACAAAATGTGCAATTCTATAGTTGTAAACATACAGGTTTGCAAACTGTACATAATTAATAAGATATTTATCTTAGTAATTTATGTTATGTGCCTTTACAATTAAGTTAAGTTCAACCACTCAAATTGTGATTAATCTTACAGTCCCATGGGTTTCAATTTCCTGTTCGTATGTGATATTTGGATGATGTATTCAAAACATATCATTTTTAATTTTTTGTTTTAAATAGTTAATTTCTAATGTTATGGCAACAGTACTAGATTTTCATAATCCACCAATGCACAAATACAAAAGTCAAACTATGGAAATAAATTTAAACTCACATCTATGGAGCAGCCCATGAGCGAGCCGAGCTTCAGGGCCTTCTGCATGATTTGGAAAAGATGTGGCGGAGGTTTGTTCAATGCATACATTTCTCCGATTCCTCCAGTGAAGTCCTCAAAGCCCTCTATGGTGTTGCCTCCAGACAGGGCCTCGTAGCTGCCATTCACCCTGGAAAAGGCATAAACACACAGCATACACTTTATTGCATTAAAAATAAGATATTTTCTCCATTACAATGTTATAAGTGAGCGTTGGTGGTAGTAATGGCATTAGAAGAAATAACTGGAAGTTAGGCTAGTAATGGCTCAGTGGCTTGGTGTTCAATTTCCCCTGATTGTTGTTGTGTCCTTAGGCAAGACACTTCACCTAGCTTGCCTTTGTATAGAAATGTTTTGCATGATTGATTGATGGCTGATTGCAGAAGTAGTGGTTACAGAGGTAGTAGACCCCCATCACAAAGACTGAATGAATAATGCACAAAATTATAAAGCAACTTCTGCAAAAGTGTTATATAATACTCTTGCATTATTGTCAACAGTGGTGTTTGCAGTACTAGTCATAAACTAGTAACCTTCTTTAAACAAACAACCAAATCATTTGGATACTGTAAGATGAAATACAAAAGATCATCATACTTAGCATAGGCCTTCTCCAGCAGTGCACTCCAGAATTCAGACCCCTCCGCGGAGTGGACAAAGAGCAGCTTCCCGTCTTTGGTGGGCAAACGGTCGTCAATAACAACATCCACCCATTCACCATATTGCCAAAACTGAAATTTAAAAAAAGTATAAGTGTAGCAGAATGACAGAACTGATTTAGTCTTTGATATGGTTAAAAATATAAAGTCTGATAGAAACTGACTTGGAAGTGAAAAATCCCAGCATATTCCTCAGTAAAACTCTGTCCAGGTGGCACCACGCGAGCCAAAATTCTCTGGTCCAGAGTCAGAGAAGCAATGGCTGCCAACAGCCAACAGTCACCTGTACAACATTAGCACACAATACCACAAGCTTAGCCAAGAAGCACATGTTAATAACATGTTATTAATATTAAATGATTATAATACCGTATACAATGTCATGGTTCTGTGGTTTGAAAGATGGAAAATGAAAAATTTATCTGTCATCCATAATAACAGTTGTAAGTTATTATTTCAATTAAAAACCTGGATTTTTTTTAACCTATATTTTATCTAACCTGCTAGGTTTTTGTAATACGGCCTTATGCAAATATAGGCTTTGATTTTGTTTTACTATATGTATGAAATTAAATAAATATTATACGTATACTGTATGCCAATCTCAGTTTAACCAATTCAAAGTACCAGTAGACATATTTTTCTAACTTACCCAATGTTCCTTGACAAATGTCTGTCCTTGTGGCTCCATCATCAATGAATTTTGGGTCAGAGCACAACTCCTAAAAGAACAACCAGTGATTACTATAATTAATTACAGCAAAATTTAAACTAACTAGGAATTGTCCATTACTTATTAGCCACTGTTAACATGTTTCCTTGTTGGTTTTCAATTTTTAAACTCCCTGGGGCACTCTTCAGTTAATATTTGTATTATTTATATTAACTTAGGGAAATTGTTTTGTAATACGGGGAAATGAGAAACAGAAAATATTATCTCAGAAAAAGCAGGACAGTACTGTCATGTATTTGAATAGAGATAAAATGGGCTTGGTAATTCACTGAAAAACACAATTCCCAAACCACCAAGTATTATTCATTCATTCATTCATTTAAGCTTGTGTATTCACTTCCCAGAAAAATTGTAAGAGTGTAACTTTGAGGTACTGGTGTTCATATAATACAATGAAGAGATCACATTTTAAAGTTACAATTTGTAATTTGAGTGGCTGATATCTATATGGCTTTGTGGAAGCTTTAAGTTGAGAGAAGAACACCAGAGAGCACAGGTGAGACTGAACAATGGCCAGCTGATGGGGGAGGGGGAACAAGATTCACACCGGTAAAAAATCCAAAGTCCAAAGTTTAGCATTGTCATTTTGTGGATTCACTGCATGCACACACAATACATGACAAGATACAAGATGAAAGAAGAGATCAAAGGTATGCTTAGTTATTTTTTTTTATTGTTTCTAACAACAGTTTCTAATGTCAAGATATCTTAATGTTATCATGTTTAGTTTTCATTCTATGTCTCTCTTTGTTTCTTACCGTTGGCCTCTTCCACACCACACTTCTGGTTTTGGGGGAGTAGGGTCCCAGCTCATTGTACCCCAAGGACCTCCCATTCGCTGGAAACTCGGCATCCTCAAACAAGCGGCCCTTTTGTAGAGATTTTTGTTTTAGCAACTCATAATCTTGGTTCAGATATTTCACTGCTTGCTGGCTTGTCCCAGTGCCCTCCTCTTTGTCCTTCTCCTTGGCTATCCGATCAGCAAGAGAGGTCATGCTTCACCCAGGCAGTGTATACAGATTAAATACAGATTTCAATGCAGTAGTGTATTTGTACGGGCTAGACAAAAACAGGGAAGTGATACAGGTGGAAGAGCTCTGATTGGACAGGTGAGTAGTTGCCCTAAGCAAATCTGTCTAGATAGTATCTCCGTGACCACAGCTGAAAACAAATAGGGACACGCCTATAGGCCACTATAATGCACAGCTCCACGTATGTTGCCTAATGTGAGATGAATGAGTGTGCATCTTTGTAATATTCATTTGACAAATAAAAATGACCTAAACACTACCTCGGTATTACCTATGTGTGGTTTGAATACAGAACAATATGAATCACATGGGTATGTTTTGCAGCAGTACCTGGAAGTTGTATATTAGAACATGAACCAAGCAGTGCACCTTAATGGGAACAACAATTGAGCTGTAGAAGGTAGCATTAATAACTTATATGACTCATTTCAGATGCAGACTAAGTAGTAAAGTGTTTCTGCTACTAAAGCTCATTATATTTTAACAATGTCATAGATTTGGAACAGTCTTTGTGGTATAAATCTGCTCTTGGGTTATTGTGTCTGTGGCATAAACTAATTTCAATATTATTATTACTCGTGAAAGGCCTTCCTTAATGTAACATGGCAGACATGCAGCATTGTTAACAGCTGAACTATGTTTCACAAAGATTAGTTAAACTTTTGTCTGGAGTCTGGAGAGTATGTGAACACACATCTATGCACACAAACTACTCTATGAGGTGACTACATCCTGTATCCTGTAGCCATGTCAACCTCTTTACACTGCAGTTTGTTTTATCAAAGGCCAGTATGGTCAGTATGCCCTTATTGTGCTATGTTTGGACTTGACAAACATGGCCTTGGTCTGTCAAACTGTGATATGAGAGGGAGGGGGAGAGCTGACTGAATTAATACACAGCAGTAGGTCTGTAACTAGCCTCTATCAACTCATCATTCAATACATGACAGATGGAACAATAATGTTTGGTTATTTTTCTGTTATTATGATGAACTTCGATAACTCATTATAGATACAAACTCATACCTTAATTGTTGCATTTTAATCATTCTTATCGCAGCTCATTGTACATTTAGAAGATGTCTTGATGGAAAATTCAAATTTATGGTTTGATTTCAATCTTATCGTTTATCATGTATATTTAGGGCAATATATACCCTGTCACAATAACAATTTTTTAAGCACAATTCATTGCAATACAGATATATTGCAATAAATGATAATATTGAAACTATTTTATGCCACCAGTACGATTAAAATAAAGCACTATAATCCCAATAAAGCCATTTGTAAATGTACAGAATCATTTAAAGGCCTAAACTGCAACACATAAATCGCCAAATGAAACAATAATAAGCCACAGAAGTGACTTATTTAATCAAAATCTTCCCAATTTTGCAAAGAAAAGGTACCCATGATACATTTTAAATATCAAAATATACTGTTCCAGTTATCATATACTGAAAGATAAGTTGCTATCGTAGCCTAATTACCGTGATAAGCCCAGCAATATATCGCAGTTCAAAATTTGTTATCGCGACAGACGTAGCTGCTAAATGTTGTTTGTTAGTGTCTCATAAAAATAATGTGTCCTGTAATGTTATTTATGTTTTTAATAACTTTTTACGTTCTAATTATTTGAGGGTGAACAGACGTCCCTATTTACCCAGGACAGTCCTAGTTTTGAGCCCAGCGGATTTATCCAAACCCATGGACTTGACCCCAATTTTATACAAGAAATGTCCCTGGTGTCCCTATTTTTAACCAACTTGATACTTGTCAACAGTAAAGAGAGGCATAAATTGTCACTTGTTAAATAAAATACAGGAAAGCATGCTTAAAAATGACCAAAAGACAAAGAAAAAGTGACTATACTGACTCACTTATTAGTCGTGAATTAGTCATGAATGGGCCGAATGAATAACAATTTTTTCTTACTTGCCTGCTCGTTTCACAGTTCATTATCATTTGTGCGCCCTCTAGCGGTGCTCTGTGGCAGTGCGTCCTGGGGCAGTGGGCGTGTGCAGCCCCTCCTCTCCGCTACTCCGCATGGGCAGGGCCTGTGCTCTGCGCCGTATTCACTGCTGAAAGATTAGACTCACCTCCTGTCCACTACTGATTTTACACAGATTTATACGATTATAACCACTTTATTAGCCACTCGGAGGTGATCCAAACTTTCTCTGCTAGCCGTGGTAAGCCGATCTTTCATTCTTTTAGTCAGCTTCTGAGATTGGACAAAGAAAGCTTCAAACATAACGGAATGGCACCATGCATTATTGTAGTAGTGTGGTAGGCCACCGAGCTAATTTCCTGGAATAAGAAGCGAAAGAGGTGCCTGCAATGTCATATCTTTTGACCGTTTTGGCTCATTTATAAAACATTTGCGTAAATCCGAAACTGGAGCTTAAACTCTTATTGGCTTTACTATGTGTGTTTAGGCCTTTCACTTCTCTGCTCTGAACAGGTGCTCTCTTATGCAAATCACCTCGCACATCATTTTAGCTTCTTTATAGGTCAAATGTGCAACTTGTAGTCATGTTCATGTGTGCACTTCATTCATTGGCGTCTGTCCATCATTTTGCTTGTTTAACGCAGTCTTAGGTTAAAGTCCAAAAGGTGACATCATCAATTCAGCTGGATCTTGCATGGATCAGCAGCTGCTCTTCTGCTCACTGGCCCGAGGGAAAGATTGTCTATGTCTGTATCTAGTCAAAATCCATCCTCTGTGTGGTTGTATCAGCCTAGGGACATTCCTGTAGTGGAGGCATGTGGGGCCTCACGCTCACTATGGGGGGCAGGTGGTCATATAAACAAAATCCTGTCTGGAGGGTTGTTTCTAGGGTAAATAATAGCGCTGTAATACATACACACTTTAAACTGTCAAAATGTCAGTCAAAACTGTATATAAATGAATACGTGATATGCCCTATAGGCCTACAATTAGTGGACTTGCTCCATTGTCCACCAGCTGTTATAAACCTAATCTATCCAGGGGTTTCTCAATGATTAGGACTGTTGCCATAGCAATTAACATTAAAACATATAACATATCTTTTGAATGCTGAAAAGTCATCAAAATGTAATATATAACAGGAAGCAGAAAACCATGAATAACATCTTATTTCTTTCCAGTTTCCACATTTAGCAAAGTTTAAAAAATATTCTGTTTCATACTGAAATGTGGACTGAAGCCTGGAGATGGGCACTGTATTTACTATTGAGCCAAGTTTAATCCTGATGTAAGCCCAGACTTGGTCTGGTCCTCTTCCAGTTCTTGTTTAGTCCTGGTCCAGATTAAGTTCTGAGTTTAGTACCAATTTTGATGTGGAGTGTATGCAATTATAATTGCATGCTACTTCTCAATTTCTGCATCATTACTGCATTACCATGTCAATTTTTTTCCCTTTTTGCACTGTGCTGTGTAGTAAACTTCATAATTGTTTAACCACAATCTATGAAGTGTTGCTTAGAACTGCATTGTGAAAGTAACCCAATAGTTTTGCTTGTCACGGCTGCTCTATCCAACTGAGCCTGAGCTTTGAGAGTTCTCATTGTTTACTGTGCAGGGGCTCATTGGCATTCCCTTTGAGTGGAGCGACATAATGAACCGTCCCACACCATGGTTTTCCCAGAACTTTCAGAACAAAAAATGTGACGTCTTTTAACAATTGTCAAAGATAAAATCTATTCTAAGCTGATTTTCTTTGCATTATCACTAGGTCAATTAAACTAAGTGCTTATAGTGTAGCACAGAAAGCCATTAAGGCCCGTCTCCCTGAAGAACAGCTGTAGCATGCTTTTCCCTCAGCATATAGAAAACACAAACATAGTAAGATTTTTTACAACATAATAACTATTCTATTTTATATTATCATGTGGTCTTTAGCTCTATATGAAACTATTTATTAAAGGTACAACTTTGTCCCATGTATTTTTTAGTATCAAGAGTTCAACTCAATTTTGATACTAAGAAATTCTCTAAAATCTCTATACACATTACGATAACACTCCTTTTTAGTCATGGAATGGAATTTTGCAAAGTAATTGTACTTCCTCTATCTTATTCTTATCATAAGGTCTGCTACGTTCTGATAAGACTCAGCATCATACTAAAACTGTTCAGAAAAGCTCAAATTTTGTCTTGTCAGTGTTATTTTTTAGAAGCATCGATTCTTGAATGGGTGAATTAAATGAGTATCTAGATTTAATAGTTCTTAAAGTATTTGGATATAGACTTTTTTGTCAACCCTACAACTTGCGTATACTCAAATATTAGTGTGTGACTGTATATGTTTTGTCTTTCCTCTCAGCCTGCCTATACTGTGAAGGTATCCAATTTCTAACTCCCTTTGTTATTTTTTTGTGGGGTTTTAGGTTGTCACAAGGCTATTCTGTTCTTGGTTCATTTTTCTTTGTACCTAGCTACTTTCCCCACCCACTGTGTGTCTGTCTTATCTCTGTTGGGCGTTGGTGACTTCTGTTCCTACAGCAAGTAACAATGCATAATCCAATGCAGATTAGATATTAAAAAATACTTTGCCGCAATATATATTTTATTTTGCTGCTTAGTTGAGTTTAAGTTGCACATGCCACTGGTTCTCAAACTACTCCCTTTGAAAATGTAGCTTCCTAACATAAAAAAAAAAAACTTACAAAACCAGGACATTCCTAAAGACTTAACATATAAATTTATTGATGTCATTACCAAAACCAGATCACTTGAATAGATAAACTCAAGATCACATTTTCTGTTCAAAGGCCTAGCAAGTTCAGGACAAAAATGGGGTAAAACCAGGGCAGGGACTGTTATATCTGTGTCAGAATAATTTTATTATCCCATATTTGCTAAATACTTGTGTGATATTTACAATCTGAAAGACTAGTTTGAGAACCACTTACTTACACAATTTGGTGCTAAAAGTAAAAACATCTGGTATGGTTTTGAATTATATTATCTTTCTTACAGTTACTAAATTATAATGCATAGATTTATAATAAACTTTAGAAAGGCCTTAATATGCCCACCTGTTAAATCTATGATAATAAATTTGCAGTTTTACCTCAACTAATTTCAATATTTTCTTGCAACAACAACAGACCATTCATATCACCCATCTTGCTCTGCCCTACTATGACTACTACATACAACAATCCCCTCTCTAAAATCAATTGCTGTGCTGTAACACTTACTCTCTGATTAGCCTTGTGCTATTAATACCCAGTAGCGGCGTTGCTTAGTCACTCACTCTGGTTTACATTGATATGTTTCACCAGTATGTTCACGACTGGAGGGATTTCTGCAAGCATATATGCTAACAGACTGCGAGCAGAAGGAATGGGGTCCCACGAGCAGGCAGTGAAGTTCGCTAACCAGGACTACGAGGCGCTAAAGCAGGAGTGTCTGGAGTCTGGGAGCCTGTTTGAAGACCCCCTGTTTCCGGCTGAACCCCCCTCCCTGGGATTTAAGGAGCTGGCCCCGTACTCGGCCAAAACCAAGGATGTGGAGTGGATGAGACCCACGGTGAGACGGAGGATGGAGGCTATGGGTTTTTATTTTTTTAATATAGGAAGCAAGCAGACCTCATGTGGTCAAGTTATTAAACATACATGTGCAATCCAAAATATGTAATATGTGAAAACATTACTTCAGGCCAATTCTTACGGGATTCAGTGCACATACATTGATATATTAACTTCAAAGTTGTAATCTAGAATCCAGCCATGATCCAGAGAGTCACAAAGAAATGTACTGTACTTGTTCAAGGCTGGATAAATGGAAATGCCTGACTTTTTAAAAATATAATAACTATAATAAACTATAATAAATCAATGAAAACAAGAATCATGGATAACAATGACAAAGGTTTTATTCTGTGGTATTGAAACTGATTGCAGTAAGTTATATAATCCTAAATACATTTTAATTTTACATATTTGTAAAAACACAATTGCAAATTTAAAAAAAATATATATATATTGCTGGATTTTCTATATTTGTTAGTGTTGCGACTTCATATTAATGAGTTTGTGTAATTTGGATTGACAATGTAATACAATAAATTCCACTTGTAATTCCAACTAATTTACTTTACTACTTTACTTAACAAATTCTCCAATGTGTTTATTCATATGAGCAGTTGTTTATCTGTTGTTGCCCAGTTGACCTTGTATGTAAACAAACCTATCACTTTCCCTCATTTTGTCCATGCAAGTTCAGACATAAAGACTCATGTTGAGACAGGACACTGCAGCTGTCCCCGACCACTCCCTCCCACCACTGCACATGCCAACAGCCACACAGACGAGTAACACAGATCTATCAGTCATACCATTGAATTAACGCACTCACACACTCTAAGATCAGATTCATCAAATGTTTATTGTGGTTGTGGTTATGTTTATTGTGGTAATAATCAGATGATAAATATTGGTGTATTTTTAGGAGCTGGCAACAGATCCTCAGTTCATTGTGGGAGGTGCCACCAGGACAGACATTTGCCAGGGAGCGCTGGGTGAGTTCAAATGAAAATAATCACATTTAAATTCTGTCTCTGCTCAGACACACCTGCAAAATTATTAACAGGTGTCAGAGTTAGGACTAAACACAGGAAGTTACTGTTTCAGTCTCCCTGAAGATGTTAGACAGGCCTCTACTTTGACAATGTCCAGGCTCAAAACAGTTCTACTTAGCTGTGCATATGACTGAAACGTTTTCATTCCTCTCTCTTTTTAATTTTATGATGATTATTTATGTTTTGATTTGTTTTTATTGTGATTTTAATGTATTTCTTATTCTGTAAAGCACTTTGAATTACTTTGTGTACGAATTGTGCTATACAGATAAACTTGCCTTGCCTTACCTATTTTAATCTTACACTATACACTGTACTTTTCTTTACATACAATTTGGAGTATTTTTGTATCCCCACACAAAATTAGTAATTGTGAATTGTGAGGAAACTTTCCAGGATTTCTCAGGTTATTTTGACACACTGTTATTACCATTGATTGTTAGAAGTAGTGGTGGCTGCACAGACCTTAGAAGAAATGTATTTTTTAATTTTTTTTTTATATTAAAACATTTGTTCACGCCTAGATAAATAATACATAATATTTGTAAAAAGGTGAAAAGGGAAAGACAAAATTACCTGCTAATTTTTACCCCAATAATAAATATTATTGATATGAAAATATACAAAAATAATAGAAGATTACTTCGTTACATGTCTTACTTGTATTTTATTTGCAACCTGCATTAAAGTGTAAGTAATTAAATTAATGAACATGTTTCAAAAATTCCTATAATTATTAAAGCCTATAACATGATTTGTTCTCTTCCAGGTGACTGTTGGCTTTTAGCTGCCATTGGATCTCTCACTCTGAATGAGAGACTTCTGCACCGCGTTGTTCCACACGGTCAGTCTTTTCAGGATGACTATGCTGGCATCTTCCACTTCCAGGTATCTCATGTGCCATATTTATCACAAGCATGACTTGATTATCTAATTGTCTGTAGGTGTTGAACTGCTAGTTTGAATCTAATTTCACATTATGTTATTTGTAAATATATTTGTATGTCATAATGCATAGTAAAATTTATAAAAAAAAGTCTGATGCTATGATCAAAAGGTCATGTTTATACTACTTGTTTTTTTGTATTTCTGCATTATTTGCATCAGTCAGGCAGTTTATACTAACAAGCTGAAAGACAATATACAGGAATGTGTGAACTGTGACAAAGATAGTACAAGTTACTTTGAGAGACGCTGATTGCTGATTCTTGACTTTGTATGTTGCAGTTCTGGCAGTTTGGTGATTGGGTTGACGTGGTGATAGACGACCGACTTCCTGTCAAAGATGGAGAACTCATGTTTGTCCACTCTGCTGAGGGCAACGAATTCTGGAGTGCACTGCTGGAGAAGGCCTATGCTAAGTAGGTCATAAAACGAGCCGCCATTATGATAAATTATTCATAGATACAACAGGAAATGGTCAATGCATTCCTAAAAAGCTTGAGGTGCAGCTGTGATGGTATGACACTGTTGTTCTCTTCTCTGTGGTTTTAAGGCTAAATGGATCCTATGAGGCCCTGTCTGGAGGCAGCACAACTGAAGGTTTTGAGGATTTCACTGGAGGAGTTTCAGAGATGTACGAACTCCGAAAACCTCCGCGAGATTTGTACAGGATCATCAGGAAGGCACTAGACCGAGGATCACTGCTGGGCTGCTCTATTGATGTAAATGCCACACACGCGCACTCAAGAAACAAATCACAAATCAGTACAAAATATGATAACACAGTTTTGCATCAGCACCATTACAAAGGCAAAAGTATAAAAAAAAATACTCAAACAAGAGTAAAACTTGTGTTCAAACTACCTGGTTTGTGCAAAAAATAATACTACAATACAAACTACAAACAATACTAGAACTGTCTTCATATTTATAACATCTGGATGTGATTTAAAAAAAATGCTAATAGTATTATGTAACAGTTTCACATTATTCTCTGTTTGAACCCCAAACACACATCTAAATCTCCATATGTTCTAAGACAAGTTGTTAAGATAAGACTTTGTGTCATCTTTGCTCTATAAAATTTAGGTCCATACTCTAGAATGAACTGATAATATAATTAAGAGAAATTTATTTTTATTGCTTGCTTTATTCAGTACATTCTCAAAAAGAGTATAGAGTCACTCTCATAATCTCAGTCTTTCTTAATTTCTACATATTCATTTTTGTTTAGATCACCAGTGCTTTTGATATGGAGGCTATTACGTTCAAGAAGCTGGTGAAGGGCCATGCCTACTCTGTCACAGGACTCAAGGAGGTCTGTCTACTATAGTTTACTATATTTATATATTTTTACATACATATTTTACAAATTGGATATTGTATTCTAATAGTATATAATCTTAGGTCAATTACCGAGGCAGAATGGAGCGTCTCATCCGGATACGTAACCCTTGGGGCCAGGTGGAGTGGACTGGAGCCTGGAGTGACAAGTGAGTCCTTTCAATACTATTATTCATCACTATGTTTGAGTATTTTATCTTGACCATGTGTGGTTGTATGTTTGTGTAGTTCTTCTGAATGGGATCAAATTGACGCGTCTGAAAGAGAAGACTTGAACTGTCAAATGGAGGATGGGGAGTTTTGGTAAGGTCCTTGCTTTTGCCGTGTTTATGTATTGGAATGCCATTAGCAGCTGTGCGCTTGTGACTCACACACCAATGTTTCAGTCTATTTATAACATGTATCACACATGGCATTCTTCACTTTAGGCTTACACTACTACTCAATGGTCATTTTAGTGTATTTGACTTTTAAAGCCCCAGTACATAACTTTTAGTCAAAAAATAGACAAAAATTGATTTTTTTTTTTTTTTTTTCATTTTGGGCAAAGAAACATGCACCCTTACTGAGATCATGCTTGCTTCTCGACAAACCTGACTCTTCCGGCTTGTTTTCATGGAAATGTTGTCTTTAAGCTTCCTCGTTACAACAATCTCTCAGAATTGGCAGATTGTCACAGAGTCAGAATTTGGTTTTGATTGTTATATTGTATATTAAACGCCACCAAACACATGCAAGCTTGACATAACTTACTCAAATGTGTGACGTGCATGACAGTTGTGTGTGATTAGCAGCTGAACCATCACCACTGACTGATGATTGCCGAATCCTATCAATGTGCTGAAGGAAATGCAAACAGCTCACACATTGTGCTCCTTCACAGGATGGCCTTCAGTGAGTTCCTCCGTCAGTTTTCTCGTCTGGAGATTTGTAACCTGACGCCGGATGCTCTGAGCGAGGACAGCTTGAGTCACTGGAACACCATAAAGTTTTACGGGACATGGAGGAGAGGAAGCACCGCGGGGGGCTGCAGGAACCATCCCAGTGAGTACCAACAAGACTCAGGTGGAGTAGTCTATAGAGGTGAACCTTACATTCAAAACATGGTAACATTTTAGTGAAAGTGCTTATTTTGTTTCTGTGTTGGTGGAAAGACTAAACAAAGCTGCAAAGTACAATGGGGTAAAATAATGATGGCTGAGTGGCAAGCACTCGTGCTTCACAGCAAGAAGGTTCTGGGTTGTATCCCTGAGTTGCCTGGTCTTTTCTGTGTGGAGTTTGCATATTCTCGTCATGTCTGGGTGGGTTTCCTCCAGGTTTCCCCCATCACCATAGGTATAATCCTCCAGCAAATGTAGTCCTGACCAAACATAGCAACAAGATCATGGAGATGGGTCCCTGGGCACGAGACTGTGCTCTCATCGCTCATGAAGAGATGCCCCAGCTGGATTGAGGGATGGGTTAAAATCTTAAACTGACTTTGGTATTCCTGTAGATTTAGTTCTGTAACATCTTCACAAATACAGTACACTGGGCTTCAGACTGAGCAGAAAATTAGGTTCTTTTAGTAGTTCATAGATTATAATTATATAATTGTAATGCTCATTTGCACACTGATATGCAGGTATATTAGTAACATATTCAGTACATTATTAAAAATGTCTTATCCAGAGCAAAATGTAGAATAAAAATCATGGCCAAACCAAAGAACACGTGTTTTTGCAGCTACTTGAGTCTTAATGACTCCATTGCGTTCTGTCCAGACACGTTTTGGATCAACCCTCAATACAAGATCACGCTCCTGGAGGAAGATGATGACCCGGAGGACGATGAAGTGGCCTGTAGTTTCCTGGTAGCTCTGATGCAGAAGGATCGCCGCAGATACAGACGCCAGGGACAGGACATGCACACCATCGGATTTGCTCTTTATGAGGTAATGTCTATTGGCATTTATTTTTGCCACTGTATGAATCTTTACCTAATTAATTATATACTTATTCTCTTTCCACAGATTCCTGAAGAGGTATGTCAAGTATTAACTATTTTACATTTTTACTTTATATATTAGGGCTGCTTGAGTGTGGGGGAAAAAGCAAAATTACACTTCTTCTTGGTGTTTCACAATCTCTTTGAAAATGTTTACACAGAAAGAATATACTTAAAAATAATGTATTAGTAATGTTTTAAATTCATAAATTTAAAGCCACTATACGCTGGGGGGCAGAGTGAGGTAAAACAATTTTTTTTTTATTGATTGGAGCAAAAATTGTAATTAGAATTTAATTTTGGTTTAACTGCACAGCCCAATCGTGCATTTTATCTGTTTCGGCCTTTTTAAAAACTGTGCTACTAAGTAATGTCAAGTATTTATTCACTGCCTTAATTAACCGCTTTATTTCTTACTTATAGTACAGAGGTTGTCAGAACGTGCACTTGAAGAAGAATTTCTTTTTGTCCCACTCATCTTGTGCTCGTTCTGAGACATTCATAAACTTGCGCGAGGTAAGCACCCGGCTGAGGTTACCCCCTGGAGAGTACCTCGTGGTTCCCTCCACATTTGAACCTGGGAAAGAGGCTGATTTTGTTCTCCGAGTCTTCACTGAGAAACAATCAGAAACAGAGTATGTTTTTTTTTCCTGCTGCTACTTAACTTTTAATTATGCATTTTTAGCTTTGTAATTTTTTTTGCGCTCAACAGGGAATTGGATGATGAGGTTGTTGCTGAGTTGGCGGATGAGGTGAGCACCCTTTTAGTGTAATTATAAATTGATCCAATATAGGATTGCTGTGCTAATTTAAGTATAAAAATGTTTTTAAGGATGACATTACAGAAGATGACATTGATGATTCCTTCAAAGCAATGTTTGCCCAACTTGCTGGAGAGGTATGTGTTGGAAATGGCTATTCTATGATTTCTGTATCAGAACTAAATTAAATGTTAATTTATTTTTAACAACTTCCTACTGTGTACAGGATATGGAGATTTCCATTCATGAGTTGAGGACCATTCTCAACAGAGTGATGGGTAAACGTAAGTGATTTAGTAAACAAATTATGTCTCCAGGAAAGCTTACATACTAGTTGGAGATTTTGCATCATAGCATTACATTCCTCTGCCTATTGTTGATTTCTTTTAATAGTTCTTATCAATGACATATTACTTCAGCACTGCTGGTAAAATGTGTTGGCTGTGGTTCAAGTCACACTTAAGTAATGGGGTCTATTATCATTGCAGACAAAGACTTGAAGACAGATGGGTTCAGTATGGAGTCCTGTCGAACCATGGTTAACCTCATGGATGTATCCTTGTTAAAACTAATAAGAATATATTTTTGATCTGTGTAAGTACCATTGACGTATTTAGTTTTTCATCTTAACACCACTTCAATCAGAAAGACGGCAGTGCGCGTTTGGGGCTGGTGGAATTTCAGATCCTCTGGAATAAGATTCGTAAATGGCTGGTAAGAATAAAAATTTATAATCTGAATAAATAAAAAGAGAAAAATCTGTTTGTACTAATTTGAATTGTCTCTCTAAACATATAGACAATTTTTAGACAATATGACCTTGATAAATCTGGTGCTATGAGTTCATATGAGATGCGCCTGGCTGTGGAAGGAGCAGGTGCTGTAAATGAACTTCTTTGCAATTATAAAAACTTACAATTCATCAAATAATTAATGTTAACTTTTTGTTGTTTTTTTTTTTTCAGGTTTTAAGCTGAATAATAAACTAAATCAGATCCTAGTTGCCCGATATGCAGAGAATGAAATGATTGATTTTGACAACTTCATCTGCTGCTTGGTCAAACTTGAGTGCATGTTTAGTAAGTACAGAGTTATTGTATATATGTTTGTGTTAAATAGTTGAATGAGAAATTCCAGTTTATACTTTATACTTTTTCACAGGGTCTTTCCAGCTTTTCGACAGAGAAGGATCTGGAACGGCTGAGCTGACTCTAACCGAAGTATGTTTTGCTTCTTTTTAAATTACTAACATATAAGTTCCTACCGTTAACATCTGTTTCTCTCTATTAGTGGCTGTACATGACCATGTGTGGCTAGAAGAAATGTCTACAGTTTAAAAGAAGTATAAAGAGGTACAGTGCCATGCAAACTGTCAAACCCGGGAGCCCTGAAGACCCTCAGCCTTACGGAAATATAGATTTTCAAACAAATCCCACCTCAGTATTAAGTAGCAACATACTGTAATTCTTAGGCCTGTCACAATAACAAACGTTAAAGTGTATGATATATTGAAAGAAAATACTGTGATTAATGGAAATATATGAAAAGACCACTATTGGGGTGCCTACAATGTTCCATAGTATGGCTTAAACATAACTGTATGCATGTTATAGGTCAGATCTGTGCAAAGGCAACAACCACTAGATTTAAGAAGGCTTATTTTTAAAAAGTAAAAACTAATTACACAAAATGTAAAGTTTACCTTTACCTTTAACACCATCTACCATTTACTGAACAATAAGTACTGGTAATTATATAGTAACTATTGTGACAAGCCTAGTAAATGCTACACCAAAGCGCTTCTTCAAAAGATTATTTCAGCTTGCCTTGTAGTATCTGAAAAATCATAAACTATGCAAATCTACTATATGAAACAGGCACCGTGCCACTGTCCCAGCATGAAGAAAAGCATGGCTAAAAGCTACAATATGCTTTGTAATGTTATTACATTTGTCTATTTTATGTGAAAGAGATAAAGGAAAAAAGTACATGAATGTTACTACAATGGTTCTGAAAGTGACGTCTTAGACTCCTTCTATTACTGATGCTTGTGAAATACCTTAAGACTTGATAATTCACTGTGGAAGGATTTTAACACGCGTTACATTTGTAGTTTTATTATTTCACCTCAAGATGGCAGCATAGATATGAAGGTTTTGCACAGTTGTTTTTGTAACACATTAGTTTCTATTTTGCACTTAGATTGTATTTTTTTAAATAATTAAGCTTTAGCAGATTTGCGCCAGACTACAAAAAAATGCTGTAATACATCACTTGATTAGAGTCAGGTGGAACTAACAGGGATCACACAATCAATCAATGCCTTAGACTCACATCAGTTAAAACACTGCTTTTTAATTGTACCAGTTATGTGTATGTGTTGTGAATGTTTGTTGTGCCTTAAATAAATATTTGCCCCATTTGGAAGGTTCATTGTGTTTGACACTATCAACGTGACCTATATATGTACAGAAACATGTTTATATGTAAAGGCTTTATTTATTGTAAGCACAGATGCCTCTAAGAGGACATATGCCCCAAAACACAAGTAAATGATCTACCCACAGAAAATGTAAGATAAAACATTCAGCCTTCTATATAATGTTTTAATAAATGCTTTAATCACTGTCATACAAATGTGCCTGCAATCGCCAATACTTTAGAGAAGTCACCTTCCATACTGCGCAGCTGTGAAGGAATGGGGACTCTGATTCTTGTTCCAGTAGGATTTCCATTGTCTTCAATTAACACCACATTGTTTGAATCAAATCGTGGGGTCATGCGATCCCCTGGCATTTTATGTCCAACAATTATAGCCTTCTTTTTCTGTCCTTTGATGGCAAGTAAAACTTTATCTCCAACTTTTCCGATGCCATTCTTTGTGTAGACGTGAATCACTCTTGGCGCTTTGTGATAAGGAGTATTTCCCAAAGAGCTGTTATCCACAACCCGAACTCTTGTCATTTTCTGAATAGCAGCAGCAGCTGATGATACTCTGGAAAAAAAATAACTTAATGTAATGAAATTATGTAAGACAGACAAGTATGAGGTACATCATGAATCTGTGGTTTTAAGATCTGTGAATGTGATGATGTCATGCGCCCAGATGGGGGCTTGAGAGTTTTACCTAATGATTACATCGTGCTTTACTTTGAAATATCTAAGAGGTAAATGAACAAATGTTGAACCTAATAATTTTTTAGTGCACGGTGTACTAGACCCTAGAACTTGATATTTTAACAACATTAACTTTAGCTGCCCTTGTAGAATAATGTCACCTGAAACTCACTGTCAATGATTCCATGCCTATGTGATGATCAAGCAATAAATACACATCAGATGAGCCTCGGCCTGTCAGTCAAGCGCATGATAAAGCCTAATAGAGCAATAAAGTTATCCATTATATGTACTTCCTGAGCTGGCTCTAAAACCAAGTAATCAACATTTTTACATTTAGATATGAACTTACCGAAATGTTCTCTGTTGAATCTTTGTAGACGTCTCAATCAGTAACCCCACGAGGGATCTTGATGCATGAAAGAAGGCCATGGCCTGAACACACAGACAAAACATTTATTAAAACATCTTATTTGTATCATGTTACAATTTGTTTAGTTAGCATTAGCAGGCTAGCATCAAAGAAATCCCCCAAATAAAGCCAAATAAACATTTATATGAAGCATTATAGAACAGCATATGAAGATAAACTAGTAGTAACTCACTATAATGAAACTTCAGAGGCTTAATCAACAAATGTATATATTTTATGAGCGATTTTTATCTTACCTTTATAAACGCTCCGCATGAGCAATGTCAAATACTGTGTCGTCATCATTCGGCGACATGCTCCGCCAGCCAATCACAGCCATCTTCAGCTAAAACACGTACAGACGCAAATATGTTTTATTTATCTTATTGATTGTTTTCTGATACTTTTCATACTTTTAAATTTTGTATACGTTTTGTTTTGGTACAATCCGTCGGCCTGTCGTCTTCGTCCTAGCAGGCTGCATCGCTGTCTATGTGTCTGTAATGCTCCAGAGTGGGATGTGGGCTTGGATGTGGGCTGTCCCAGTCACGCAGTCGGGATACGGGCTTTGTGTGCGCAGGTTCAGGCTCAAACCCTACGGCCTCTCCGCCGCTGCGCTCCTGTCGGACTGGTTTGGCTTTAGCGACACTTCAGTCTGACAGACAGGCATAGTCTTGTACAGGCTGGAGTCACTTGTCACTTGAGTTCGCGAAACCTTTGGATAAACGTCGTCGCACTGATTCGCTTTAGTTTTTCGCAGGACCTGTAGACGAGGTGTGGTTGGATCCAGTCGGGATTAAAGCTTCCACTTGTTATTCGTCACACAGAGGGGCTAACAGGGCTAGCTGACAATAACGCAACGCTTGGCTGCTAGCCTCCAACAGCAAATTGTGACAGTTTCTCCCATTGGTACGACACAAAGGTTAGTATTTTTCATGTTTTTTTATATCTCCTTATGTAATCCTAAAGGTACCGGGACACATTTAGCATTTCTTTTTACTTCATGACTGCTCCCAGAACAATGAGAACCCAAACACATGACAATCTATCAACAAAAGTATTGTTGTAGAGCTCCGTCAGAGAAAATTTCATTGTTTTTAACTTTTTAATCTTTTGTTTTTTAACTATCGTCTCTTATTTATAACTCAAAGACGCATAATAACGATGTGGTATTGTCTGACTTGATGTTCATAATTCATTTATGTGTCACATCGAGGCGATAAGCTCAGATTAAGTCCTAAATGGCCTTCACCCACTGCCCCGGGAACATTTGGTTTCCTTGCTTTTTCTGATTATACACACGCTATTTTAGGAAGAAGAAATTGATGTTTTTATTGAATAACCTGACATTCAAGTTTATAATGAAACCAAAAACCCAGAGCCAACAGTGATGCTGCCATTTGTATGACGCATTATGAAATTGAATAATATAATACATAATTTGTCAAAATAAAAAAAACACAAATATTATGTAGAGGCAATGTTGGGTAACTCGTGATATTTGCTATTTTAAACAACAAACAACAAATTAAAACAGGTTTGCCTTAAAATTTCCTTTAAATTGGACAGATCCTACTAGGTTTACAAGAATTTTATCTTGGTACTGAGCATGTTTGCCCTCAAGTATTCAGACTAAAGAAACTAAATCAACTGAACACCAATTATGTACCTTTATTAATAAGTTGTAAAGTATATTTAATTTTACACAATTTGTTCAGTTTCTTGAAGACCTGAGAACTGTAACAAAATGTTCTGCAAGTTTCTCACAGTCAAATGGGTCAAATGTGGACATAGTGACCATCTCATGTTTATCCTGATTTTTAGTATAGTATTTCTTTTTTGTATTAGTTTTGTTGCAGTTGGATTTGGGCTATAAATATGGGTGTATCTTTTTAAATTTCAGATTTTTTTCTATTAATTTGATTTCACGTGACTGGTGCTTTTTGAATTTCTAAGAATGAGTGGCGCATTGAATCTTATAACTTTATTCAGTGGCCTAATTAATGGAACATGTCAATTCTTGTTCCTCTTGAGATGCCAAATCAGTTGAAGTTGAGCCTCACCAATGAGTTTATATTGTATTCATTGTTTCCCTTGTTTACTCCTAGTCTTAAGTTCAGTTTATTTTACCTCTATGTTTGTATAGTATTTTGCACATGAAGTCCTTATGTCTGTATGTGTGTACAGAAAAGGACATGTTTTTTATTTATTCTTTTTCTTTTCGCTTTGTGTGGGAGTCTATTACACAACAGCAGGTATAATCACCTCCTGCTATCGTAATCAAAGCCAGAGACCTGTTGAATTCACAGCAAGTTAATGATTAATAGACTAATACATACATATATCCTTAGCTAATACTTGCTATTGCCTTATCAGTCAATGTCACTACTGTATTCTGGCCATAGATGACTCCTGGAAGCCCAAATTGCACTTTGCTACTGTGCGTATTCTCTTTATTTTCAGTTTTAAAGTTGAGTTTTGCAATGAAATATTTTACAAATAAACAAAATCAACATTGTTTACATCATTAGTTTTCCATAATTTAGTCTGGGATTCATTTCACACTTCATTTTCCAGTATTAAGTGCAACACACAAACAATACATTAGTCTTGGTATTACTTCCTGCCTTTAATGGCCAGTAATTTCCACACTGTATTTAATAACAATAATGATAATAAATGTATTATCAAAACTAGGTACTAATTTGAGCAAGTATAGATACTGAAATAATACATATGGTCAAAGTTGGATCTTCAGAATATTATTATTGGTCTGTTCTTACTTTGCACCTCATCTCATCAAGATTCCCTGGGGTTGTGATGCTAACTGTAGGCTCTGCTTTGTTTGATTCTCTATTAAACTTTAATCTGAGCTTTATTTGATCACAATCTGATAATTAAGAACTGACTTTGCTGGAACTATAACAGATGAGATGATTTGTACTGTTAAAATAAGTCTCTCACACATAATTACAGTCACAACGTGTGATTAGTAAACAGTTTTTTAGTCACTCACACACCTAAACAGGAACAGGAACTTTTATATTAATCACAGGGTCCTGAAAATGTGTTGTTTAAATCCATTTTGTATTTTATTTTGATTTTTCATTGCGTCATCATGGTAACTGCTAACATTCCACCATAGAAATACATGCAGAACACCCACCAACGTGATATCACTTCAAAGTATCTATCAATAACAAAACTAGTACTAATATAAGAGAAATTAGGCAAATCAGTATGAATATAAAACTTTTGCTTATTTTTGTATTAAAATAGGGTTAGACATTTCTTAACAACACTCTTATATGACCTCCTCAGACGGAAATGAGAGCTGAATGAATTGTAATCATTAGATGTATTTTAATGACGTTCTCTGTATGATAATCTTGAGGAAATTTATCATTTGTGATATGAGCAGTGCACAGAAACTACTGTCACACAGAAATACATTTCTTGAATTAGAAGCATTTGAGGGTAAGAACTCTTTCTTATTCATACAAGAGGATCTGAGGTACTGTATTAGCTTTTAGTTTTATGATTATGATTTATGAGCCTGCACAGTATGAATGCAAATTAATTACTGTCACATGTCCTGACAACCGGCCACAAAAATCATGATAAACCGTTTTACTTTTGTGTTACTTTTGTGTGTATCTTTGACCTCATCTATGAAGTACCCATGTTCAATTCATATATTAATTTTACATGGAGTAAATGTGTAATGTTGACTAACTGACTGAATAATTCAATTGATGATTGAAACACAAATATAAACCTATACCAAATCATGTAAAAAAATAAAAAAAATTAATAAATATATAATGGTTAATAAATCAATAATAAACTATAGAATGTGTATGTAAGGTGGAACATGTAGCAACTGTAATGCCTAAAAAGAGCTAAATAAATAAACAGTAATTTGCTGTGAGTTGCAACATCTGCATTTCTCATGGATTGCTATTTGCGCCCCAAAATTGAGAAATATCACCCACAGCAGGTTCAGTTGTTATCATATGTTATATTGAAGTTTTCATGCCAAAAGCTATGACCTTTTAAAAGAAGGGAAAAACTCTTGTCGGCATCATATTACTCAGCTGTCTCTGTGGATTTGAATACATAATGAATAACTTTTTCCATTTGTGTAAGGTGTGTGTGCTGTGATTTGCAATCTTATGTGTAACAATTACGTGTGAAATATGCCATGCTGCTAAATAGCAAAACGAAGAACTGGGTGCCAGTATTACAATCTTTTTTATAATTGGTCAGCAGTTTGAGTGAGATGGACTGGACAAAATTACTATATTGTTGATATGCAGATGTTAATGCAAATGTGAGTTTTATCAAATAGAGGATGGCATTTACTGGTCACTACTAGATCTTAGGTTTGCTCTCAGGTTCAACATTTTGTGCAGTCTGTTTTTGAAATTAATCAACATAGAACTGGTTACAGCTTGAGATCAAAGTGTTTTCCAGAAAAAATCTAGACCATGTAAAACAAGATCTGAAATCTTAATAAAAATAATTTCAGATTACAGGATGTTGTGATTAATACTAAGATTATTACGATAACAAATTTTGAAGCACAATACAGTGCTACAGAGAAATATTACAATAAATGCTAAGACTGAAACTACTTTATGACTCAAAGCAGGATAATCCCAGTAAACCATTATAAAATAGACAGTAACATTAAACCTGAGCTGCAACAAATTAATAGCAGAATGAACTAATAATTAAATAGCCATACTTATATTTTCTTACCATACTTACTTATACTGTATTTATTGAACTCTCTAAAGCTCAAATTTCTATTGTATTGCAACAAAAATAACCAAAATCTCCCTACTATTGGAAAGACAATGTACACATGATAAATGTAGAGCCCAAAATTATATTGTTCCAGCTTTTATGTAGTGAGCGATAAGTCGATATACTAATTATCGTGACAGGCCTAATTAGTACCTCAAAGTTACCACATATAAACTGGTTTCTCCTCCACATTTTGGCCAGCTCCTGCTCACATGGCAACAAGCATCTGTTGGCACAGTGCTGCTGAGTCATGCTGTAATGGGTACTGGTGGTAAACATCAGAAACTTTGGCTTCCCGTCAAGGCATTGGAATTTACCTTTTTGTAATGGCTTTGTGATGCAACTATAGGATAACTCTTAACTCTTAAATCTTAAATATGCTTTAGGTGTTGGACAATACTAGTAAATACAGCTCCTGGCTATTCCTTAAAATCAGTCGGTTTTGAAGTATTCGTACCTATCCCTGTCACGATAAAAAAAATTAAGCATGATGTATTGCTACAGAGAAATATCACAATAAAGATAAAAAGCATGAACTACAACAAATAAATAACTGAATGAACAAGCAGTTAGTCCTGGAAGTCACTTTTCCATCCCTCTACAGCTGAAATTGTACCATATTAGACAAAAAATAGCAGAAACCTCCACATAGCAACAAAAATATGATAAATATTGAGCCCTAAAAGCGATCATATATTGAACAATAAGTCAATATAGTCATTATTGTGTCAGGCCTAATCACACCAACTGCCTTCTAAGAAAATGAAATTTATGTATAATTATGTAAGGCGTCTAAACCAAAGTGGGCCAATGTATTGCATAGATGGAAATCATGATTTCAAAACTATAATTTCAAATCTAATAACTATGGCAACTTGTCAGTCAAAATCTCTTCAACCCTAAGCCTGTCTTGATATTAATTATAAACTTATCATTCAATAGATAATAGCTGGAACAATATATATTTTTAGTTCAATATTTATCTCATGTACTTTTTGTTGTAAAAGTGGAGAGATTTGTGGCATTTTTGTTGTAATACAATAAGATTTGAGCTGTGAAAGGTTGAATAAGTGATTTCTATGGCTGATTATTGGTCGTTCTGGTATTTATTTGTTGCAGCTCATGCCTTTTAATGACTATTTAAAACTGGTTTGCAAGGATTATCTTTTATTAGGATTATTGTTTTTGTTTCAGTGGCATAAAGTAGATTCAATGGAAAGGCAAGGCAGGTTTATTTGTATAGCACAATTCATACACAAAGTAATTCAAAATGCACATTAAAATCACAATACAAACAAATGAAAATGTAAATAATCACCATAAAATTTACATTTAAGAGAAGAGTGCAGAATAAAATCTTTTCAATATCATCATTTATTGCAATATATATATCTAGCAATATATTGTGCTTCAAAATGTGTTACCATGACAGGCCCATTTGATACAATATTTTTAAGTGATTTGTGCATGTGGTGCCTCTTTCGCGCTCACACCGGTCTATTTGAAGGCTGTAGCGGTCCGGACTCTATCGTCTTATTGTTCGTGTGCGGCTGCGTCCCTCCACAGTGATGTCACACATTCCAGGCACCAGATAAATGAGTCAGTGTTCGGCAGATGAGCAGCTCCGCGCGGGACGGGGAACTGGGGCGAAGGCCATGGCTGAAGGAGGCGCCCACCACAGGGACAACCAGACAGGAGACAAGCTTGCCTCCACATACAGCACCGGGAGTAGTGTTGTCGCAATAGTAAAACTTAGAACTCGATCAATACTTAGGAACAGGGTCTATACTCAATACTCATTTCTCATGTTCTGTAGTGTACTGTAAATGTATAGTTGTGTTTTTGAACTGCCTTGGAGTCTTTCTAAATTGTAATATTAGTGAGCATGAAATACATAGAGAAAAGTATGGCAAGGTAGCTGCCAAAAAGAAGAAACTACTTTGCTGGTAATCAGAAATATTATTTTACAAATTATCTTGATCCCAGTTTCATCTGATAATTTTGATTTGCCACACCAAATGTCTTATATTTTATTATAATTTAATTGTTTCACAGTATGGCATCAAACTGATTTGGGTTGCATGTATATTTTTTTACTATGAGTGGGCTCGCCTCGCCACAGATTTGACCTGTAACTTGAGAAAGATGACTTTAATATAGTGGAATATTCCAAGCAAAGCAATAACCTTTCACTGAGTCAAGCTGAAAAGTTCTATAGTTTGTTCACCTTTAAGTGGCTGTCTTGAATACATGGAGTCACACTTACAAACAAACTTCTATCTATGCAGTGTTTTTGCCAACCTCTTTTTAGAAGAACTCCAAAAGTTGAACTGAGTGGTTTGTGTCTGCACTTTAACTCAACAGGAACAGAAAGTGCACTATAGGGCAACAGCCTAGATTTGAGTTTGACATAAATCTGGGCCAAACCATGTGACTCATGACCAGGCGTTTGTGTCAAAACATGTTAATCAATGTCAGGTAATTTGTTTATGTTTTTCAGTGTGTCAAATACTAGTGACCCAAAACCAGTGGCTTATGTGAAAGCCTTTAAAATGGTCAAAGATAGTGGTTTACACATAATTTCCCTTTTGAATCAATAAAGTTGGACTAAGTCTAAGGTTTGGCAAATTGTCCAAACTAGAATAACAACCAACAAAGTAGTCACAATAGACTCCTTTTTTAACAGGAAATATTTAGTGCTTTGCCTCATAGTGATCCAAAATGAAATAATTATTTTGTTAATAATATTTGACAAAATGGAAAATACTAGACTTAAGAGTTGGACAATATTGTTATTAATCATTTTGACTGAAATAGTGACTTTATGTGTTTATTTTATGAACATAAACAAAGCTTCAAGTCCAAACTCATCTCCAAACCATATATTTTTACTACCAGATGATTGGATGTATCTTGCTTGATTTTAAAAGCTCCAGCCATATCACTGATGAATAAACATGTCTTAATCTTTATTCAAATGTAATTATTTGTCTAGCTCTGTTCGACACTGATGTTTGACTTTACTACTTACTTACTTACTACTTATTGCACTTATTTCTTGTTACATGCGGTCTAACTAAAATCTATAAATGATTTTGTTTTTATTAAGATGTGTGTTTTGTTTGTTTTCAGATCTCCAGCATGCTGCAGTGAGGTATGCTCAGAGTGTTTGTCTTCATGATGGCGTTGTTGGGGGTGCAGGGGTGCGAGCGCACGGGGAGCTGTCCGACACTGGCCCCAAACACCACATCCAAAGAATACTGTTACTCTGCCCGCATCCGCAGCACTGTGCTCCAGGGGCTGCCCTTTGGAGGAGTGCCCACTGTCCTTGCATTGGACTTCATGTGCTTTTTGGTAGGTCTAATGCCATCACGGTTGATTTAGTAAATTGGGAAGGTTTTTTTTGTTCACTATTAAGAGTGTTTAACATTGTGAATAAGAGTTTGTTCTTAATGTTTTGGTAAAATAAAATAAAGATTAAGAAAGCACCTGCGATGGGCCACTCTAGTCCTGTTTCTCCACCAAATTAAGCATGGAAATTGTGATTGCAATTTCAGTGGCCACAATTCAGTGTCAAATAATAAGGTTGCAAATATTTGAATTATACAATTGCCTCTGCAAACAATTGTAGTTAAAGTATTTTGTTTACTTGGGATCTGAACATAGACTGTATAAAAAAGTGGACTAAGCGAGCGTGACGTCACCCATAGCATTCAACTCCACTCAAATGAATCTCATGATGCTGTCGGTTATAGGAGCGAATTTGGAGCCAGGTTCTGTTATGAATAGGAATTTAGTAATGGACAAAATAGCAGAAAAAACACAAGGATCATGTAGAGCAGGTTAACATGAACATTTTAAAACCAAAATGACGAGGCTCACAGCAGCAGTTACAGAGTTACAGAGAGGGGCCACAGTAATCCAATGTAAGTCCATGGGAGCCAGGGTCAGTAGGAGCCCGCATGCGAACTTCCTATTTAGAATGCAGCAGCGAATGTGTTGGCTATGTCCATTTATATACACAGTCTATGGGTATGAAGAACAAATTTATCGTAGACATACTTAAATGTGCATTATGTTGATGAAGAATGTTTTAGAATTTTAGAATTAAAATACATAGTAAAACTAGCCCCAATTGCATTTATTTAAATTTGATGTTAAGTTGTAATTTTCTCTTCTACTTACTATAGAAACCAGTTATGTGAATGTTTATGTGTATAAATGTATATCACCTGGTTCAGATTGTTGTTATAAATGCATATCAGTGCCCACCTTACTCTCAAATAGGGCTGGTGAAGAAGTTGTCGACATGATACATACATCAATACATAGGCCACGATACGATACATCTCGTACAGTGAGCTTTTGATTCGATACGATTTGACACAGTATAAAAAAAAAGGCTAAATCATGGCTGTGATACTAAAAGTCTTTGTTAAAACTTTTCTTGTGCAAAGTTAATATGAAAAACACCCATTTTACTCATCAAAACAGTGAAAATGTCAGATGTGTTGCATAAACTAGTTTTCTTCCTCTAAACAAGCAACAAAACTGTAGCGCTGTAACAGAATAATTAAGTAAAATATATCAAAAAACACTCTAATATATCGATATAGCAGCCGCCAATATCAATACTATATTGCCACATTAAACAATACAACATATCGATATTTCAATATTTTTGCACATCCCTACTCTCAAAGACTAATGACTTGGCTATATCTGTTTTTAAACCTATCTTTCTATTGTTGTTTTCAAGCATGTCACGCCCTATTTGGAGCCTCTGAGCAGATTACACAGCCTTTGCTTATGGGAACAGTGTTTTGTAAATAAACTCACTGTTGTTGTGGTGTGTGTTCTAGGGGCTGCTGGTTGTGTTTTCATTCTTGAGGAAAGTTGCATGGGATTATGGTCGACTCGCTCTGGTTACAGACGCCGACAGGTAAATAAAACTATTCTGTCCTAATAAGGCTCATGTACAAGTTGTCACATTTAGATAATTGCGCTTGAATACGCCTTTAACTTGCCCTTTTGCCTTAGATATAAAAAAAAACTTAGCAAAAAAGAAGGCATCCATATCTTCTGGTTGGCTGGCACAGTCCAATATCAGATGTTCTCATTGATTGTTAAATAATGGCTTCAAGAAAAGTCACGACTTCACTACTAGATGTTTATTTATTTTTTTTATTATACAAAGATATATTTTTTTATAGCTGTCAATAAAATAGATAAAACATACTGACTGAAAGACATTATGTCTAAAGACCTTTTACAAGGGCAATCTTGTTTACAACAATCAAAGGGTTTTTTGTAAGTTTTATGTTGCATTCATATTTCTACCTTTGTATTATTTGCTCTTGATACAGGTTGTTAAGGTTGGTAAGGATTATTGATAACAAATTTAAAGATTTATTGTTCCACCTGCATAAAATTGGATAATGTTGCTTTAAGATACTTTTTCCCCCTTTTTAAATTTCACTCCTTAGTCTAAAACATATTGTCACTTAACCATATACAAGTTAAAGGAAATCTTTACAAACGCACTCTTTGACATCTTCGTTCCTCATGTGATGTCAGTTTTTCACAGTTGCCGTCTGCAAATGAAACCATGAAGCTGCTGACAATGTTTCTGTACAGTCTGGTAGACAGGAACTAACGCAATAGACCCAATGCACTTTTACCTTTGTCATAATTTTATAATACTTGACCATGGCAACCTGATTGTCCTCTACTACAGCAACATGTTATACAGTAGGAGTGTACTTATGTTCCCACAAAGATCATTTTTAAAGTAAATTCATAAACCCAACCCTTACTTAACCTTAACCATAATTTCTAACCCAGGCCCTAACCCTTAACCCAGGCCCTGGCCCTTAACCATAACCCTACAGGCTAGCAAATCTGGGAACTTAGAGGTGTGGGTACATAGACTTTAGGAATTAGCATTAATGAAGTTTTGGTGTTTGTAATTTGCAAAGGTATAACAACATTTTAGTTAAATATCAATATCAACATTTTAGTTAAATATCAATATCAATATAAGACATTATAATAAAGTATACCACAATTGTATAAGACTTCTGATATGAACCATAGAACCCTGTGTACAATCATTCATCCCTATTCCACAGTTTGAGAACCTGAGGCCTGAAGAGACTTGACTCGAGTCCTCCATCACCCCTGCCCCCTGCTGCTCCATTGCGATAGTCCACAAAGCCACTATTTTTGCAGCTGTTTAAGAGCAGCATGCAGGAAAGAGGGGACAGCATGGGATAGTTATGTAACACATTAGAAATAGAGGTCTTATGACACTTTTACTGTGAATGTGCTTTGCATGTGTCCTTAAACTTCTACCATCCAAGTCAAGTGAGCTGGGACTAAAAGCAAAAATTAAAAAATGGCACTTATACATTTAAGGCATTAGATTTGCTTATGCCTAGATTGTGTCTACCGTGAGTCTTCAGTGGTATGACTATGTTATAAAATACAGGGTTCATCTCATGGTCATGAAAACCAGGACAGGTTATGTTTATTTTAAATGCATATTTCAAGCGTAAGGGAAAAACTTAAAGAGTATGTTTATAATTATGTCCAAGATTCAGAAACTGCCAAACTTTTATCCAAGCCTGATTTTTCTAATGTAAATATGAATTTAATTATAATTTAATGCAATTTTTGTTTGTATAGTAACAGTAAATACAAGATGAGTGAAAAAAATTGGTTCATATTAGTATTTAATTGGCAAATATCACAAATAATATAAAAAACACTAAGAGCCTGGTGGGCTGATAATCCTGCTTGATTGTAATGTCACTGTTAAAAGTGAATTTCATGCATTACATTCTTTATGTCAGAGGTATTATTACGTACATATTTTGTAAAGAATTTGAAGTAGAGATTTTGATAAAATATGCCTTAGATATGCCTTAACTGTTAACCACAAGAGCAGTTAGTCATTAACATTCATTTCCTCTCATTTAGCTGAGTGAGTTTGTTTTGCTTCTCTCCTTCAGACGAATGGACCAGCGATACAGTCGCCTGGATGATCGGGAATAGTATGTTTTTGCTTGTTTATTTCAACAAGATCTCAACGCCTTTTCTTCCCTTCTTTGTAGTTTAACAAAGCCCTAACTCTATTCCACTCTCTCCAGGCTGCTGTGGGTTTCAACATGTTTCTCTTTTAACTTTTTCCTTATTCTTAAGGTGTTTCTACTTTCCTGTATCCGATTTAATCACTTCTTCTTTCCTAGTCATCTTTGTACAGTGCTGTGAAAAATTATTTGCCTCCTTATTAGATATTGTATTATTCATCTGTCTACCTCCACTTACACACTGTTTTTTAATTAAGGACTATAAGTGAGATAGCATTGATGGATAGTGGTTACTCTTGACATGGGCGGAAATAAATTCACTCTTAATTTTATTAATCTGTTTTTATGACAGTTCATGAAGTGGTTGTAGGTGGGGAAAATAGTGACATAGTCGCCTTGAAAATATGCAAAAGAAAAACAACAGAAACTATAATCTGTCAGAAAAAGGTATAATTCAATTGATTCTTCACTTTTGTATTTATTTTATTCACATCTGGGAAATATTTGATCTGAACATTATGCAACTTTTCTGAAGAATTGCTCAAATATCTGATTTACCACTAACCAAATGAAAGCTATTGTTTTTGTTTCCCACCTCTAGTTTATCAAGCTTACCTTATACAAGCTAACAACAAAGATATATAATGTAAAAAATGTTAGTAATCACAGAAGGCATTATACTTCTTCATAGCACTGTCCCTCTGCTATGTCCCACTCACCTTCCTAATCAGATCTATGTGTGCTAATCTCTGTATTGACCTCTCTATGAAGCTTCTTCTGTGTGAGTGTGCTGCAGGGGCTACGCAGGCAGGATGCTTACAGGGAGAGGTAAAACTATTGGGACCAGTGATGGTGCATATAGGCCCTTACAACACTGTGTACATGTGTTAGACAGATAAGACTAGGCCTCCTGACTCCTGGGTAATGTAGGAATGTGGAGAGGAGGTCAGCTGATGGTTTACAGCCCTCTCTCCTTGCTCCTTTAGAGACGTCTTAAAGTAATGGTGATGTCATCCTCTTATGTCCGTATTAAACAACAGGTATCCCAGCAGAGCCATTGCACTAGTCATCACAAGTGAGTCAGCAGAAATTTAAACTGAAAAATGAAATTTGAAGTGCACACCAGGGCTTTAGGATTAATCGCAATAAAATCGAAATTGCGTTTTGAATGGACACAATTAGCGGCAATTTCTGAAGTACCATAAATTCTTCCACAAGCCACAAAATGTCTTATCCTGTAACTGTAAACCTTGTAGTTTAGATCTGTACAAACATGTTCTGAAATGTGATTCTTGTATTAGTTTGTCAGTTCATGTTTCAGTCTTTTTGTCACTTCCTCTGGATGCATTTTAAAATGTGAAATTTTAACAGAATCCTATTATTCAAACATACATTACAAATCTAATCTCAATGCTTGTTAGAAAAATATAAATTATATATTTTTCCTAAGTCGTTTTATAGAGATGTTATAATGTGAAATGGACTCAATCTGTATGGTTTGACAGTGATAATCATTCACAATTTGTACACCCTCTAAAGTGAAATATTTTACTTGTAAAATACTTTTATTTCACCATGGGACAAATAAAGATTCTCTTATCTTATCATTATACATACAAGTTGTGTAACCAAATTGAATAGATCAAATGGATGGTTGCCCTGAGTGACTGCTACCAAAGGTGTGTTCGTACTTGCACACAAACCACATCAAAATTGTTGCTAGACCTGGGACTAGACCTGGGACTAGACCTGGGACTAGACCTGGGACTAGACCTGGGACTAGACCTGGGACTAGACCTGGGACTAGACCTGGGACTAGACCTGGGGCTCGACCTGGGGCTCGACCTGGGGCTCGACCTGGGGCTCGACCTGGGACTAGATCTTTTGTCACAACTCTCTTAACATGTAAGACCAAATTTGGCTCTGCTGGAAAACATGTCCCACAATCATTTAACCTTTTTCCAGTTCTTTCCTGAAACTGATCTAACCCAATGTAGAGCTGGTGGTGATGTAGTTTAGATTACGGCTCCTTTAACTGCATGAAATCTGACTGTTGAGATCATGGTCATTTGTTTGTTGTTTTAAAATGCAAACTACACAGAATAAAATAAACAAATAATTTACATACAGTTAATCTTTATATTGTGACATTGTTTGCTCTTAACTAAACTGATCTGAATTATGCTATGACAGGTATGAGGGGTATGATACTTTTATTTCCTGTAATTAGTATATAATTTCTACACTTCACACTTAACAACTTCTAATGACTTCATTTCTAGCCAACACATTTTCATTGCTTGAAAAAAAAAAACTTCATATAAACATTTGTGCATACTATGAATAGTTCAAGGCTTAACTGCATGGCATGGGATCTCCTCAGTCGATTTCAGGGCGTGTGTAGGAATATGTGTGTGCGCATTGTTGTCATCTTTTCCATACCAATGATGATTCCTGTGTGCTGAGACATCCTTCCTGTGTGTGCTGATACCAGGTGTTTGTGTAACTCTGAAGGTTTGTTGTGTTTCCAGCGTGGCCTCTACCGTCACTCCTGAAGCAAATGAAAGATATGAAAGGCTAACCTCAGTCTCTAGCTCAGTGGATATTGACCAGAGAGACACAGTAAGTATTTTATAGTTTTAGAATTGTGAATGTTTTTGTAATAAATATGACAATGTATTATATACATATTTATTTAAAGTATATATTTATTTTAATGAATTCTTGTCAATGCGTTTAGGGTTTCTGCTCATGGCTCACGGCTATTTTCAGAATCAAGTAAGTATAATTTTCCAAATTAAGGGTCTGATCAATAGACAAGCTATATTGCAAATGTGTAGTTATGGAAATTTCAAAATATATGACTAGAATACTGGATTAGATGCTGCTGTATGGCCTCATTGTTGTGAAATCAATTCCTGGTTTACTAAATGTCCCAATCTTCCCATTACACACTGCTAACCACCCTGTCATGTGAAGCCTATAGGCCCAAAATAAATAAATACAATTATAATAATACAACAAAATGTTGTAAAAATAATGACTACTATTTAACTTAACCAGTTAACAGTTTTTAGTTTTAGTATATATATTTTTTGCAAATTTTGTACTGCAGTTACTAGTAGTTATTTAACCTATATTAACTTGTATATATTTTTTCTGCAGGGATGATGAGATCAGGGACAAGTGTGGGGAGGACGCCGTGCACTACCTGTCCTTCCAGCGGCACATCATCGGGCTGCTGGTCGTGGTTGGAGTGTTGTCGGTGGGAATCATTCTGCCAGTCAACTTCTCTGGAAACTTACTTGGTGAGTTTGAATGAGGAAGTATAGGGGCCTATAGCAAGGAAAAACAACAGTATGTTATTGTGAATGACCTGAGGCTACCAATGCATTTAAATGTGTTCTGTGTAACTTTTCTAGTGGAGGGTCTGCCATATGATTGAATAGTGATTTCCATTTATACACATGTGACTGCTATGTAATGGATTAACTGATAAGCTTGATTTATTTTCAGAAAATAATGCCTACAGTTTTGGGCGAACCACTATTGCAAATTTGGATGCAGAGTAAGTGTCTTCCATTAATTATTTCTGTGTATTTAGTTGCTATTTAACCTCTCACCACATATAAGGGACCTTTACCAAATATTTATGCTCTTTTCTTATTCACAGTGATGCACTACTTTGGCTACACACTATCTTTGCCTTCCTCTACCTGTTACTGACTGTTTACAGCATGAGGCGGCACACCTCCAAGATGCACTACAAAGAAGATGATTTGGTACAATTTTTTTCCTGTCTTTTATCACCATTTGGCCATTTTGAAATGTATTTAATTCAATTATTTTTATCTGGTTTGTATACAGGTAAAACGCACTTTATTTGTGAATGGAATATCAAAATATGCAGAAGAGTGGGACATAAAGCAGCATTTTGAGTAAGTTTTACAATTATGAATTATATAAACTGAATCAAAATATATTTTATCTTATCTTAAACAAAACTAAAGATTCTTTCAGTATTTATTTCTTTAAATGACACAGATCATTGCCATTTAATATAGGTCAGATTTCTTTATTAAAAGTCTAAATTCTGTTTTAAACCACATGCATTACTGACAGAAGATTGGTTGTAGATTCTCATTTAAAAAAGCATATCATCCACGATTAGAAATGACTGAATCTTGGTCTTGATTTATTCCACATTTCCTAATCTATTCAACACAATATATTCTATCCACCAAAATATAAACCATAATAGTAGTTTTCTCAGATTTTCACTGTTATATGTAAACGTCTGCTCTCCGGTCACTAACTCCATTAACATGTATGAGAGCCATCCCCCTTCCTGTTAAAGTGACGTCTCAGCCCATGTTCGAGCAGACAATGGCGGGCCTATATGCTTAATTATCCATAATGCAAGCCCTATGAGTGAGGTTGTGCAGGTCATGTGTCCAGAGAGGAAAAGTATCCTACTTGAACAAATAGTATTAACTAAAATCATATTTAGTGATGCTCTTTTGGTGAGGTCTAATAATTTTGTTTTGACATGACTCGAAATACAAGGCCCTGTTATGGTAGGAATAGGGCAAGTTATTAAATTATAATAGAAAGATCAAGAGTCTTTTTTTATTCATGTAATTTTTAATTGATTATTTTTAGTAGACTCTTCTCCATTGTTAAATTTTCCCCTTAAATAAAAAATCTGCAAATTGTCATTGTTTTAGAATAAGTTGTAGTAGCCCGGGAGTTGAAGAGAAGAGGCATGGCGCTATAGTTGTACCACAGGAGAAGTTTATTTACCATCAGTATGCGACACAGCACCAGGAGACATGAATCCTCAAGACACGTGTTCTCTGGCAGTCTGGCTATGCTTCTGTTGTAGGGAGTATTATACATCTGATGATGCAAGATATCAAGGACTGAGCTGCCCTTAGTATAGCACAGAAATGGAAATTTTCTAGCATTCATCAATTATATATTATTTTACCTAGAAAGATGCCATGTTATAAAATTTTGGTGTTATGATTATTGTGAGGAAAAATGTAATGATTTTCAGATTATTAACACCATGACCAAATAAATCCAATGATACCCCTTGAGTCCACAAAATCTGACTTTTGCACAGTATATTGTGACCTATATCTAATTATAATTTTTTCGTAGACAAGCTTATGAAAACTGTGTCGTACTAGAAGCACGCATCTGTTACAACGTGGCCCGGCTCATGTACTTGTGCACTGAAAGGTACAAATTGCTCATTAACCTCTTGAGTTTGTGCTCAAATGGAGTAGTCGTCTTTTGGCTTGACACGGCTCATGTTTTGTATACAGGAAAAAAGCAGAGCGCAATAAGAAGTTCTTTATTGACCTGCACAGTAAGGAGCATGTCCATACCATGATCAACCCCAAGCCCTGTGGACACCTCTGCTGTTGCATCATCAAGGGCTGTGAACAGGTCAGATTTATGTAACATTATGTAACAGCATTTATACACAAAATTAGATTACTATTTTACTGTAGTACGGGTGTTTTTCTGCAATTTGCTACTTCATAAACTCCTTTACTTTAGCTATTTTGACTATTTTGAAGCTGGGTCATTTCTGTACAAAAACAGTATCTCAGAAACTAGTCTAATATTAGTTAACAAAACTACATACTCATTTGAGCACATGAAAGACTCATTCACAGGACAGAAATGAACCTTTCCTAAACATCTTTAGAATGATCTTAAGCTGTATAAGAACACATACTTTATACCTGGATGAGGTATTGAGGGATTACACAGATATACGATCACATGTCAATATAAAAGAAAGTGCTATTATTTAACATTGAAAATGACTACTATCTGAAGTGTTATCATCATGGTATCTTCTATGATTATTGACTCTATTCCTTAGTAAATCAAAATCTAACATGTAGACTGTTTAAAGAAATTACTGAAATATTGCTTGATGACTTGGATGATGTATTCCTTGTTCTGTTGCTTTTTTTACTTATTTATGATTTATTTAGTTCTGTTTTGAGATATGTTTTATACATATGTAAATGACTACATATCAAAAAGTACAAGATGATCATCTTAAAAAAAAATGACATGTTTCAAACCAAAATAGCAAACGAAAAAGCAGGATTGGAGCTGAAAAATTGTGCTTCCATGTTTTTAATAGAATTTCTGCATTTGCCACATTGTGATGTGCACAATATGTTACGTATTTTCCAAAGCATAATATAATTTAGACCAGTGATGTACAAACCAAAATTTAATAGTCATTCATTTTTTTCTTTTTAAAAAGGTTACTGGCTTTTCTTTGTACAATTACAGTCTGTAGTAATGTTAATTGGTAAAACATGATTCCATATTTTACATCTGCTAGTTGTTAATTTTTGAGATGTCTTTTTCAATTTGTTATTTTTGTCTGATACTGATAACGAATTCTAATCTAATACTTTCAAATTACTACAGGAAGAAGCAGTGAGCTACTACACAAAACTGGAGGCGAACTTGAAAGAGGATTACAGAAAGGAGCGAGAGAAAGTGAACAGTAAACCACTGGGCATGGCTTTTGTCACCTTTCAAAATGAGTCCATAACTGCTCTGTAAGTTCAACTCACAACACATTACAAAATACTATTCACAATTTACTGCTATTGTGTAGCAAAGAAGAAAAGTAAAAACAAAACTAATTTATATTCAAATCAAAAATCAAAGTAGCCACCTTTGCATTATGGAAAAAATATTTAGTGGAGTTATTTACCTTTTTATTTTTACTACATAATTCTATATATCTTGTTTTATATATTTAATGTCTTCTGTATGTTTATAAAATGTAGAAGTGTTTTTTTTTTATTATTCTTGTGGCATCGGAATTTGTACTGAGGATTGAATCTATTCCTTAGTATCAAAATTGAGCTAATGTACAGGCTATTTAATGATGCTTAATGACTTGTACGATGTATCCCTTGTTCAAATTCAGTTTTTTCTTTACTAAACAATTCCATATATATCTTGTTTCAAATATCTGATGTCATCTGTGTGTATATAAATTGTAGAAAGTAGTAAAATAAATTGAATGAGATGGTGTGTCCAAACATTTGACTGCTAGTTAAAACATAACCTTCCTTTTGTATTTTTCTTTGCAGAATCTTAAAGGATTTCAATGCCTGCAAGTGTCATGGCTGTTATTGTCGCAGAGAGCCAAAGAGTTCAAACTTGAGCACCAAGCTTCACACTCACAATTGGACAGTCACTTATGCTCCACACCCTCAAAATGTCTACTGGTAAGAAAACAAGAAATGGTGTCACTCAAATGAGAGACTTTCCCGATGCGTTTTACCTGCAGTTCACTTTGATTTTGTCTACAACCTTTACTACTACATATTGATTACTGCTGAGGTTTGTTGCCACAACTGTCTATTGCAATAGTCAAACAAGGTTAATCAGGTCTTCCGATAATTTATTTTAATAGATTATTTTTTTCAGACCAAGGCTTAGTTTGTTTGTACTTGTTATGAAAACAACTTAAACCTATTACAATGTTAATGTCTCATAGACTTGTTACTAAAAATTACTGTAAATATAACATTTCTTGTTTGTTTTATTTATTTTCTCCAATATAATGCTTGCAAATGTGTATATCATTCAAAAGCAAGTTTGAGTATATTAGATTTCTTGAGTACACAATAAAATCCTCCTATAATAATCTCTTGACAAGATTAGATGTTTTAGCTGGCACTGATGCAGCAGGCCTGGCTTATACTTTCTAGACTTGACTAGAGGGACTAAACAGTTTTGTAATCAGAAATATTAGCAGTATTGGATCAAGAGTGTTTTGTGTTTTAAAATCAAGATTCAGTTCACAGATCATATTTAAAAAATCTATAGGAGTATAAATGTAACGTCGTTGCTGAAGTCTTCCTCTTGACTATTTCATTTGACCTAAAGCCCAGCTGTGTCCAGAGCATTCAGCGTCTAAACTAAACAATGGTTTTGCTTTGGTCCCACAGGGAGCATCTGTCTGCAGGAGGGTTTTACTGGTGGGGCCGCTGCTTCGTCATCAACTGCGTCCTTTTCCTGCTCCTCTTCTTCCTCACCACTCCGGCCATTATAATTTCCACCATGGACAAGTTTAATGTCACCAAACCAGTGGAGTACCTAAATGTAAGTCTTATAGTGGCCACTAGCTTAAATTATTGATCACACATACATATTTGGCAACATAAAATATTGTGGATGTGTATTGTTCATGTGATATAATAATTAGCTTCTGTTTCCTTATAAGGGATAAGGATTTATTCATCATTTTTAGGTCCTTTACTGGAAATGCATCATTACAACTTATGGATTGATTTAACTTGTATTTATTACACATTTTTGATTTGCATAATGTTGATGTGTAATTTCTGGCAAAGCTTCAAATATACAAACTTTAGTCACGCAGTCAAGTTAAGGAGATTCTTCTCACATTTGGTACTTCTATAAATAAATACATTTTTATAACGGCTAATAATTTTGTTCTACAGCCCTGTGTACAACTCATTGCGTATCAAAGACTCTCAGTTTATTAGACCAAAGAACTTATAGTGAAAGCTCAATGATAGTATAATTTTAAGTTTCAATATATACATTTTTTTTACATTACAAAACACTTTTAATGTTTACATAAAGTTACACTGGGATATAACTTTTCTTTTGTTTGTGCTGCATCCTTCAGAATCCAATTATCACCCAGTTCTTCCCCACCCTCCTTCTGTGGTCCTTCTCTGCGTTGCTTCCTACTATTGTTTACTACTCAGCCTTTTTCGAGGCTCACTGGACACGGTATGGCCTTTGCACCAAACAGTGACTGATAATGGTTATTTGAGCACATTTATGTCTAACTATTTTTAAATGTTGCCTTTGACTTTTAGATCTGGGGAGAACAGGACCACAATGCACAAGTGCTACACATTCCTCATCTTCATGGTCTTGTTACTGCCCTCTCTTGGACTCAGCAGGTATGACACTCACCAACTGATATAATCTAGTTCAGAGGCAACAACACCCATGACTAATTTCCATTGACAATGCTGTTTATCTTGTATTAGAAAGATTCTTATATCTTTTTTCAGTTGTTTCTTGAAATATTTACATTACTAGGTCCTATATTGCACAAAATGGATTCTGTGAGCCTTAAGCCATGTTAGTTATATAATGCTGTTATCACCTCAAAAACATATCCAGAGTTGATATAGCCCTGACGAAGACCATCTTGCTGGTCGAAACGCATTGGCATCCCTTCATGCAATAAAGGTCTTTTAATATATTCAGTCAGAGTGCCTCGGCTTTATACCTTGCCCAAGTTTACATTTTCCAGTAATGGAAACTTTCTGTATAAGACTACTAGTTGAACCCTTGTAGAGCACCTGTACTGAAGCTCTCTACCTCTTTTCTTCATCTGACTTACCCAGAGATGTTTTGTTTCATGTTTGAGTAATTCTGGTTATAAGTATGTCTACATCTCCAAAGCTCAAAATGTTCTGGCCCACCTTGTGATGTCATGTAGTGGTAGTTTTCAAGTTAACAGATACCTTTTACCTTTAGGTTTAGGAAAAAATTACAGTTCCAGTGCAGAAATCATCCAAATTATTTAACTATTCTAATGAATGTGTATGGAGTTTAAAAACACACACTTTCTGTATTACCACATCACAAGGAATGAGGTTTGCCCTTTGAGAGAAGAACTGAGTCTAAATATGCAGGCTTATTGTGTGAAACATGTGTAAGATCCAGGTATGTTTTTGAACTCATATATGATATTATATACCACAAATACAATATATAACTTAATAAACAAGTTTGTCACTCTGTTCTATTCATTTCTATCTCTTATCGTTCTCTCATTTACAAACTTTTTCCCTTTTTGCAGCTTGGACGTTTTCTTCCGCTGGCTCTTTGATAAACGTTTTCTGGCAGATGCTAAAGTCAGATTTGAGTAAGTTTCATTATTTATTTAGTATTATTGGATATTATAGACACATTATTTTGTATTCATTTTGTGTATTGTGCCCATAATTTTCATTTTCATCATATTTCTTCAATTTCATCATATTTCTTCAGATGTGTGTTCCTTCCTGATAATGGAGCCTTCTTTGTGAACTATGTGATTGCCTCTGCATTCATCGGTAACGCCATGGACCTGCTGAGAATCCCCGGTCTCCTGATGTACATGATCCGTTTGTGTTTGGCTCGATCAGCGGCAGAGCGCAGGAATGTCAAGAGGGTAGGTGTAATTTCCCTATTACTTTTGTCATATTTTATTATATTTATCAGTTTTTATTGTCTATTTCCCTCCAAAGTTGCTGTCCATTCAGTATAAAAACACATAAATTAGTGGCTCAGTCATGTCGTTGAATAAAATGTGTGTTTCATTAATAGAGCAGACTTTGGTGGGCCCTACTGTATAGAACAAGCTAGACAATACATTGGTTTAACAAATTTGTATTTGCTTCTTGTATTGTAACTATAATTATATGTATTGTTTAAAGGGCCCATATTACACTCTTTTGTAATCTGTTATAATGTTGTTTCCTCATCAAAAACAGACCTGTAGTTGTGTTTTGTGTCATTCACACATGTTTAACACACAAACCCTGTATATTTAAGCTGTGTTCTTCTATCTCCACCTTGTGATGTCATGCAGTAATACAGGAAGTGCTCTACTGTGTTTTTAAACTCCTTACACCTTCACCTAGATAATTTGGATAATTTCAGCAATGACATCACAAGGTGGAACTGAACATTTTGAGTTTTCGAGATTTAGATAGACTAATAAACCAGGATTACTCAAACACGTGAATGAAACAAAGCACAACTCCAGGTATATTTTTGATGAGGTAACAACATTATAACATGGCTTAAAGTGTTATATAGGACCTTTTTATAAGTAAGGACTGCTTAACAATTAAATTGAAGTGTTTTTTTTTGTTTTCAGTTCCAATTTTTTTAAAGTAAAATTATATGCTAAAGAAATATTAGTCAAACTATGGTACACGAGCTCCTTCAGGTGGTACAGAGGGAGCATTAATCCACTCCTTTGGGTTAGTCCTTGTTTAGAACTGGTATAGCAAATGTGTATTCCTATTTTTAGATCTGATGGTACACAAAAGCCCAAATATTTTCTTTGCTGGTTCTTGGGCTGAAAAGTTTGAAAACCACTTGCTATTGCAAACACTATTAAATACTTTGTCTTCTCATCTTCACAGTGCATAATTCTAAAATATAAATCTTTTTTGTTTGTTCTCTTTCTAGCATCAAGCGTATGAGTTCCAGTTTGGCGCGGCCTATGCTTGGATGATGTGTGTCTTTACTGTAGTGATGACCTATAGCATCACCTGCCCCATCATTGTTCCCTTTGGTGAGTGCTGCCTCTGAGTCTATTACTGGGTACTGTTTCATATTAAGATGGTGTGCTGATTAGATAACTGTAAGTGGAGTAGGCTAAATGTTGAGTCTATTGGTTTATTGAGATACTTATCACTGAGTCTAATGCTATTATTTTCACTGTGTGTTCCAGGGCTTATGTACATGCTGCTAAAACACCTAGCGGACAGATACAATATGTACTATGCCTATCTGCCTTCAAAACTGGACAAGAAGATCCACTCTGGGGCTGTTAACCAAGTTGTGGCTGCTCCCATCCTCTGTCTCTTCTGGCTCCTTTTCTTCTCCACTGTTCGATCAGGTAAAAGTGGGCGCCATCTGCTGGTCACTTATATCTTTAAATTACTCAATTACTCTAATTCGTAGTGCTGTTTACATATAAACAGCATAATAACATAATATCAGAGACATTATTTTATTCACGTGTTAATATGATCATATTATGGTAATGAACTCGTGTACTATTTTCCTAAAAATGCTCATTCATCATATTTAAAAAAAAAAAAATTTAAACTGTAATGTCATGTTGACTGACTTGAAACTGAGGAATATATTTCAGGGACCAGAACTTGCCTGCAAATGAGATTCTACATCTGCATAATGAAATCAAATAGCAAAGTATTTTTTTGAAATGTAGTTTCAACTTCTAATCTTCTAATATCGCACAGGTTTTCCAGCAGGGACTTCCATGTTCACGTTTGTAGTTTTGATCATCACAATCATCATCTGCCTCTCCCACGTTTGTTTTGGACACTTTAAATATCTCAGCGCTCACAACTACAAGGTGAAAATTAAAACAGCTAAATAATATCTTAATTCAATAACCTAAATATTTTAAATGATTCAATGAATATGTTTTTGCTGCAGATTGACTCCCAGGACGTGGACGGGATGGAGAATGGTCGCTCTATGGACCATGCAGAAACTGCCAAGGCAGCAGTAAGTACAAAGCACAATGTAGCTTTTGTTTTGCCAGTTAACAAAGCATTGTTTAGGTTACATCTTTTTGTTGAACAAAAATAATATTGATTCGTTTGATTCATTAAATATGTAAATTCATTATATAGTCCATTATATTCTATTAATATAAGGTGCACTATGTAACTTTTTGGTTGGAGGGTCCACCACCTTTTTGTCTACACGGACATTTTATTGTTTTGCCTGGTTTGTTCCATAGTATGGCATTACACTTGCCTATCTTCATGGAGACAAGCAGGTGACACCACCAAGCCAAGCTACACCAGCCAGACCTGCTCACAGGAACTTAACTAAAAATACTATCTTGCAATAAATGTGTAAAAGATATGTTTAATGGCATACAGTGGAGCACTCCTGGAAAAGCAAAAATGTCTCCATAGAGTTCAGCAGGTAGCCTGCCCTCCACCAAAAAAGTTACTTACCCACCATTAATTGTAAATCTAAGTCAAGTGCATAATTTTTAGTTGTAAATTGCTCTGCTCTGTTGTCTAACATCAGTTTTCTTGTTCACTTGTAGCAGCAGATGTACATCGCACAGGTGCTTCAGGACCCAAATTCAGAGGAGGGTGGTTCAGGGAGTGCTGACGATGGCCAGGGCTCCTCGCAGGACGAGGAGATGATCAACCAAAATGGCCTGAATGAGGACTTCCAATCAGGGGAGGACAGCCTGATTGACAATGAAGTTCGGCACTGACACAGCTGGGGACAGAAGCTTAACCTGAGGAATGCACTGATTTTATTAATTTGAACCCATGGGTCTCCAAAGCATCTCAACGTCCAATGAGGGACACTAACAGAAGCACATACTAAGGACTTAACGGACAAGTTCTCCATTGGGTTTCATTGTACCCTCATCGTGTTTGTTCACAGGGAGTTTCACCCCATACCATGAGAAGGCAACATTTTTCTGATATGAAAGACACTAATGCACAAATGAAGAAATGTTTGCCATGACTGTTCGAGGAAGCGATCTATTTCTTTAGTACTTGAACGTTGACTGGTCCCATGAGCTCGGGTTTCATTGAGGTACTGTAGTCCACCATGCCTTCAGGTCCAAAACAGGACTCCAGTCTCCTCTACTGTCTGCTTAGATGCTATTGTAACTTCATCAAGAGGAGTTTTTCACACTAGATGAGCGCTTAGTCAGGGCAAATACTCCGAAAACGGTTCTTCCAGTTTCAGAAAGGCCTTGTTAAAACATGAACGTTCGCTACTAACACTCCTAGACCGTGTACAGCTAAAGAACTGTAAGATAACTCTTGAGGACTTATTTATTTGTAGGCATGTGTAAATGCTACCTGTCTAGGTGTAACTCTTAATTGTGGAAGAGTAATACTTCAAACCGTGGCACACTACATTAATTTGGGACTGCTGTAGGACTGCTTCTCCTCCTGTAGGGGGCACTCCTCACAAGGACACCATGGAGAACTCTCTTGTGGTTGTTTTCAAACTGGAGTAAGTCTGTTTTTTACCCTTTTTTATTTGTTTGTGTGTTTACATCTTCAAGTAAAAATCGCACACTTGACTAAAAGGGGGTCACTCATAGTTTAAGGACTGAGTATGTGTTGCCTATCACACAGCCCTCTGACTTATGTTTTTATAGGCACTTAATCAGCAAAAAGCAAAAAACTAAACATTCATCATTGCCTATATTTAGCCAGTGCTCTCTGTCCTGAGCTAAGATTATCTAGCAAAGATATGCACTTTTTAAACATACTGAATTTTAGACAAAGTTGCACAACAAAGTGGTTACATCAACTGATTGGGTTTAGGGCAATTAAATGTTTTTAATTATAATTATATTGTTTTTATTGTGCTTTCCTTTGTCAAATTAGGTTGAAGGTATCCACACAAAAACTGTTATAAAATCTATCTGTGCAACTAAGTTAAAGATTCTGTCAACATACAACCCGTTATAATCAAATATTGAAACAAATTATGAAATTAGCCCGTAGGATTATTTTCAACTAACTCAGGATGCCTGTACCTCCTCTAAGTTAACACTGAGTATTCCCAATAGTAGAATGGCTTTTCTAAGGCAAAGTACCACTACTATTTTTCATTGTGGACCAGTTGATGTTGACCGTAAATGATAAATGACTTAATATCATACTGCTGCTTTGAACTATTCTGGGAAACGTGCACTAATCCTACTTCTACTCAAATGATTGACACATTTTGATGAGCAACGACTTTGTGAATTGGTGAACTGTCCATAATTTGTCCATGTACTCCATCTTGGGTGTTATGGTCCTTCATTTTCACCATTGAGTCAGCTCTTCCTGTCCTGATGAGTTGATTTTAATTTCTTTTTTATACCTCTTGGTTGTTTTATACCTCCTGAAATATTTGAATGTGTCATCATGTCACAATAACATAGCTCCAGGGAACTGTTTAATCTCAGAAAATGGATACAACATCTGAATGTAGATTAACTCTTTGGTTACATTGAAGTGTTAAATCTGTGGCTATTGAAAAACCTTTGTTTGTTACAATTTCTCATTTTGTCTGTTTGATCTGTCCATAATAACCTTTGGAAACTTCAATTATGTATTTTTCTTTTACTTCAAATTTCTGAAGTTCTCAGTTTTTACAGTGTATTCGCAATGCTTAGTAAAAATGCCTTTCTTTGCGTCTTAAGCTGTGCACTGTTAGAATGTATTGTATGTGTGTTTTATGTCTAATTTAGTTTTACATTACATTCTGATAGGAAGAGTAACACTAGTCTGCATTCTAAAGGGCCATCTGTTTGACAGATCTGTTCTTTCCCCAAGCTCTTTACACAATAAATATGTATTTAATCTTTAACTAATTGAGTGCTTTATTACTCTGCAATTAATTTGTTCATGGGAGTTTCATTTTTATCTCAATTGAGCAGTCTCTTACCGACGGCCTCCTAGGATAAGTGTGTAAGTAAATTTTTGGCCATATTGAGTTATTTGTGTAATACTCCTCTCCAAATCCTATAAACATCTGTAGGCGTCACTGGCTCTGTCATTGGCCAATCAGAACGATTTTTACAGCATTTACATTTACATTCCTTCACTCTTGTATGGTGATTCAGCATCAGTTTCAGCCTATTATTTAAATTATGATTTTGTTTCACCCATAGACCGTATTTAATGTGTTTTATTTTCCCACATTTACAACTCTTTTTCTTGTTGCTTGAGGAGAAGACCAGGATTTGTCATCAGGACTTTAAAAACAAAAAAAACAAAAAATACCCAGTGCCAAGTCCCAAGGCATTTTAGTTTTTGGTGCATTGTTATTCTGCAACAAATTGAAAGGTTCATGAAAATGTCATTCTTATCACAGATACAAAAGTAATGTTACTTTTTCTGTTTTCTGTTGAATGATTTTGTGTCAGAGATTATGTAAGAAGACCAGATTTTGACCCCCATGGGTAGAAAATTAAACCACAAAAAGAACATTCTACTCTTCTATCCTAGCATCTTATGTAATCTGTAATGTCCCTATGTTTACTAAGTCCTTTTCTTGATGAGTGATTGGGTACCACTTACTATTAAGGTTACAAAGTCCCAATGCTACAAACACTTTCCAACTGTTGAAAGCACCTGAACAACATGTAGGCTACCACCATTCATCATGTATTCCCTCTCCTATGGATGACAAAAGTTGTTCTGTACTGTTGTATTGTCCTGCTCTTCCTGCCCCATATGGCACCTCTGTGTGTTATTTATTTTAACACTACAGGCCCTATCTGAACTTTAGACAGCCGCTCCCAGCGTAGTCGAAACTCACAGTAACCTAAACCTCTCAGTCAAGGCTGATTATTTTGTCTAGTCTGGTGTGTTATGCAAGATCGCAGCACAACTGAGCAACTGAGAATTGGGCCTAAAATGATGTAGCCATGGTATAGGTCTATAGACAAAAGCTATCTAAAAAATCATTAGGCAGGCTTATTAGCTACTTGAATAAGCCTGCCTAATAGGATAAAAGAAAACTGGCACTGACTGAGCCAAATAAAACCCTGAATCTACATTGGAGTGTGGCAAAACAGCAGATTAAACTGGTTAAAATAAAGGCTACATAAAGAAATTGGACACTGACTGACTGAAGTCTGTTCTTGAATTAGGAGAAAAGAAAAATAACTAATAGCCTGCTAAAAAAAAATAAGAAGAAGAATGCGCAGGTTTCTTAAAATTAAGCTGACTAACTTTTACATATCACATTGTTTCTGAATGGATGCGCTGTGCAGTACCGTGTGTGGACAGTGGGTGCTGCATGGGAGGGGAGACGGAGGGAGAGCGCAGCAGCTGCAGCAGCGTGCGACGTGTTACGTGCGTAAAACTTTCATGTCTCCTCTCCAACGAAACAAACGGGACCACTGACTTCACAAAACACTCAGCCACTACTATCAACTACAATGTAACTCGCTGCAGCCTGGGTCGTCTGGGTTAAAAGGAGGCACTTAGCAATGGACGGGGGGCTGACTATAACTTTGATTTCTGTGGCGATGTTTTTGGGATGTTTTATTCTTGGATTCATCCCACTGTTGTTCACGCTTTCACAGGTAAGAGCACATTTTGGCACTCAACAACGTACAAAACCAGAGTACCGTTATATTGAATAGGCGCTGGCTGCTGCTGTCTGGAGTTTTGCAAGTCTCCAAACTCTGATTTATACAAACGCGCTAAAATAAGTCATATAATGTACAGTTGTATGCACTGGTTGCTACAAAAACAAGTGAAGCCAAAATGACATCTAAAATAAGGGTGTGTTTTAAGGTTTGTTCCCTCTGGTTTGAGTGTTCCCAAGTTTTAGTCCTGATGTGAACTTGGAAAAAAAGGACTAAGGATCCAAAACAATTTGGTTTTATCCAGATCTACAGATTACACCAGGGTTAAACCGGGAGTGACCTGAGGTGCTGTGGGTGCTTTAGGGTTGAATTCCTGTGATCAGCTGAATGTGTCATGTGTTTTGATCCTCAGAGGAGCCTAAAGTTTATCTCGATCCTGGGGGCAGGGCTGCTGTGTGGGACCGCTCTGGCAATCACCATCCCTGAGGGAGTGGAGCTGCTGGAGGACGCACTAAGTGGAGAAGGTAAAGTATAGCTTACACATTTTCACTCAACCACAATAAGCTCAATGTGTAATCAAGGGAGTGAGTGTGTAAGAGCAAAGTATGAACATGTCTTTTTGGATCTGAGCTTGTTTACTGCATCAAATCATATGCAAGTTAATTTAATTGTGAATTATGTGGAGAGTCTTCTATGTGCCATGGAAATGATATTGTTATGCCTATGTTCTACAGTTTGGCATTCAATTAACATAAAAAAATTCTACTTGGCAAACGAATAACATCATGCAGACAATCATCTGAAAAATTATAGTACACCTCTGATACAGTGCAACATACTCTGATGCCTATTACACATGCATTATATTATTAAGAAAGTATTTTACTATCTTCTCAATCAAACTATTATGTAACGCTTATTAAATACACTAGTAAAGTCATGAATTGAATGTTATTGTGAAGTTGCTGGTCCAATGAGGCAACAACTCCCGTGAGATCTAACCATTCAGTTGCACAACAACCATTAAAGCAACGCCATATATCACAGTTAGTAGAATAGCCGCACTATATTATGGAACAAGGTAGACCTACTTGGCATGAAACTGTATATTACACATTTAAATAGGCTTTTCTCTAATTTCCATATCAAATGTGCTATGCCTGTGAACCTCAATAGACACCTGCTTTGATTGTTGTGATCCTATTTTGTCTTTAAAGCTGTATCTTATGTTCTCTCTGATGTCTTTTATATGAATGTGATCAAAAGCCTTTTCTGTCCCTTCTCTTTGCAGACTCCTCCTCTGTTAAAGCATCCTCAGACCTCAATGAAACGCAGCACAACTCAACGTCCCCAGAAATAGCCTCTTCATCCAAGTTCATCATCGGTGTGGCTCTGACCTTCGGCTTCCTCTTGATGTTCATAGTGGATCAGATTGGAAGTTATTTTTCCACACGAGGTCAGGTCTTTTGCACAGTATAATATTCTATTTCATCTGAATAAATTAAACTGAAAAAAAAAAATTTTTTTTCATTTATTTTATTTGGGTGAAAATGCAAGTAATTAAATGTTTAAAAAACATGATTTGTGAATGAAAGCTGGGTCATGGCCGATCTGTCAATGCCCAGATATTTAGCTTTTAATAAGTCTCTGATTAGTATATTAAATGCAAATCAAGCCAGAAATTTTAATTCCAAGACCAACATGTTTTGTTCTGTGGCTCTAGGCAAAACAGCCTGTTTATCAAACAGCACAGGGCTCACGGCGACTCTGGGGCTGACGATACACGCTGCAGGTAAATACATGTGTTTGCATTACATCAACTCTAAAGACCATTTACTATAAACCACTAATGTGCATCACTGTTGGACTCCCTGTTATTTGTCTGTATGTCTCATCATTTTGTTAAATACATGATTGATCTTCAAACACAACAGGACTCCAGGCACTCCAAAGAAGTAAAAAAGAGTAAAAATCGCACGAGGAAAAATATAGTTAAAGGCGTTTATTTAAATGGCCAAAGCCAACATGTTTCCACCTTAGGCTTAATTGCCCTGATGAACATGACTACATGACTGGTCTTGCCTGGCAAATCTAAAATATTTCTCTATTTTTTTTTATACATATACAGTATATTTATATGTATTTATTTATTTATTTAATTTATTCATATCAGTGATGCAATCAATTTTTTCACTGATGCATGTGAAACAAAGGAGCATTTTATTTTTCCAATATGGATGGATCATGTGTGTCCCTGATTGGCTGATACAACTGTCAATTATGCCCATTTGAAAACGGGATGACACACATCTTCGTAAAAGTATTGAATTAGTGTGTGAATTTTGATCTATCTGGATAGAAAATGCTGAATTATTTAAATGTTTCTGAAAATAATTGTGGTTATATAAAACATTTTATTTAGTTTCACCTTGTACATTTGAATTTTTGCTAAGTTTGTTTTTCGTTGTTTCTACAGCGGATGGATTTGCTCTTGGTGCAGCAGTGGCCACAGCTAAAGTAACTGTACAAGTCATCATATTTTTGGCAGTAATTCTACACAAGGTAAGATTAGTTTATCAAATTACTCATTGTTAATTTGGCTTTGCTTTTCATTCTCTTATAAAATAATAAAACTACCATGGTAATTTTAAGGCTCACACCCAGGGATAGGCAATAACAACCATCTGTTCCCTCGGGGCCATGTAGACGTACCAATTTACGTATCCACTATTGTTTTTAACCATGCGAAAAACCCGGGATAACAATTACATGGAACAGTGAGCCTGATCATTTACCACTGCCAATCAAGCAGTGCTTTTTTAAAATATAAAATGTACTTAAACTGCATACTAAAAGCTACCATATTGACTGTGTGAATGTCTGTCAGATCAAAAAACATTTCATAGCAGTGAAGTTGGTAATTTGAATTTATACATTTATCATTATTGTGGTGAAATTTCTGCTTGTCTCCATGGAGATGTTTTGCATGCAGTGTTCCACATTATGGCATCCAGTACAGTGTTGGATCTATTTCACATGTATTAAATTGCAGGTGTTTTAGATCTACCTATAACTTGACCCGGTGGCATTACCTGCTTGTCTCCATGGAAATTATTGTCTTATGGAACATTACAGGCAAAACAATAACATCTCCGTCACCTTTACTAAAAATATTTTCTGCAGATTAAAATAAATATCATGATACTAATATGTGTTTCTTGTTAGGCTCCTGCATCCTTTGGCCTGGTCTCTTATCTGATGCACACAGGCCTGGAGAAGAAGTACATTCAGGGACATTTACTTGCCTTTTCTGCTGCGGCTCCTATTGTTGCCATCGCCACTTACTTTATTTTGCATGCTGTAAGTTTAAATTATATTGATATATTTTGTCAGGTAAAGCAGTGTCTAGGCCTGTCATGGTACTATCTTTGAAGTAAGATGATGATGTTGCACTTTTCCACCTTCAAGGCACTCAGAGCACTTTACATCAAGGAACCACTCGTGCATTCACACACACATTCATACACCAGAGTACGCAGACTTTAAGGGCGAAGCGGGTTAAGGGTTTCAACATTTGTCTGTGGGAGCTGGAAAAAAACTCTACCAACTGAGCCACTGTCAGTAAATGCAGTAAATAATATAATTAAAAACCAGTGTATGCTATTGGTCCTGCCTAAAGAATAATAATTCCTTGAAAATGAACCATAATTGTCATTTGGTCATCTCATGGATATGTTATTCTTTTGCATAAAATTTTCTGCAGTATGCTTTCTTGCATTTATTCAGTCACCACTGTTGTCAGAACACTTGCGCAAATACATGTATTTGTCATTTACTGAACAAGTTGATATAATAACAGTAATTTGCAGAGATGTGGAGTTGCAACTATGAGACTTGAACTCGAATCAGACTTAAGTCACTATTTTGATGACGTGAGACTTGATAAAATGGACTAAGACTGGGGACTTTTTAAACACTCTTCTGTCATTGTTACAAAGCTGTACTTTTTGGAGCAAAAGAAACGTCCCTCCCTCTTCTATATAAGCTTTTTTTTTGTAGTTTTATATAAAGATTTGAAAGGACCTGAAACTCAAAACATTGGACTTGGGACTTGACATGCCTGTTTTAGACATTGAACTTGAGGCAAAATACAAACAAACAAAGGATTTTGTCTCACATGTGGTAATTTGACTCATTTTCTTATGTCCACAGTCTGGCGGTTCTTCTGTGAACCAAAACAGCACTACTGGCATTGGGATGTTATTCTCAGGTGGTACTTTTCTTTATGTGGCTACAGTTCATGTCCTCCCAGAGATCAGCAGCAGGGTGGGCGAAACAGACTCTCTCCAACCCCATCCCGAAGGACATCTGCACCAACAACACTACATGGGACTCCTCGAAAGTCTCACCCTCATTTTTGGACTTGGGCTTCCTGTTATACTTGCTTTAGGTCTGGATGACGACTGAGAAGAAAGACGTAATGCCCCGAAAAGACTTATTTCAATGGGACCACCCTTTGTTATTTTACCCACGTGTTCGAAAGAAAAGGTTGTTATCCAAAGTTTAACGTTTCAGCTCGTGTCACTGAAACAAAATGCTTTGATTTGGTGCCAAAATATTTCTCACCGCATGTAACAAAAGACAGCTCCCCAAGCGGTCACTAGCTGACGACACACTGAAGCTACCTGATAAGTTATGGGGGAAACACCAAATAACCCGATACACCCTGTTTTGCACTACACAAAGGAAACTAGGCCAGAGGTACCTACCAGCTTCCTATTAGCAGGCGAACGAGGTTGATTTGTTCCATATACTTGAATAATGGTTTAAAATTACAGCTTTCCGTGCAATATATGAAGCACAAGAAGCCTTAAGGCTGTAGAGAAGACAAATGTTTTATTTAAAATTTTAAACTTATTGGTAAAAATATTTAATTATATAAAATTATACAGCAATAAAAGTTATTTGAAAAAAAGATTTCCTGACTACTTTTTATTTATGCAAATCAAGACTGGTTGTAATGATATATCTTATAGCAAACTTTGGTAGTGCAATACTTCATATACATTGTTCACGAAAAGATTTTATTTCTTCTAGTCCAGATAAATTTTTTCAAAGACATTTCAAAGACTTTTTGCTTAATGTAATATTGTGAACATAGAGAGGACAAACTGGGAAGGGCAGTTCAAACAGTTCAAACGGTTCAAACATACAGTATTTCAAGCATATTGCCTTAGATGCTATCCTCTTGTGACCTAAAGGATGTCGTGTCATTTGACACATCCTTTTTTTCTATTCACTCAATGCCCCTAACCACACTGCATATGGGTTACATATAAACACTGATATCCAATTATTGGTTTATGTTATTGGTTATTGTTGAATTTAGGATCATGGAGGGAAACATTGAACAGGATCTCTGTGCGCCAGTTTGGACTGGTTTGTATATAGCATTTTGTTCACTTTCACACCATTAAAGTAACCTGTAGACTTTATTTCCTCAAACACAAGGCAACAAATCACTAGTTACAAAAAAAACAAAAAGAGCACAAGGCACCATAACTGAGGCCGAGTATTCACCTGATGTCATTTCAAACTATTAACAAAGATGAATTTATGAGAAAGATACTACAAGGTAAGAATCATTGAGTGTAATAGTTTTATAATAATAGTTTATTATGATAGTTTATTATAATAATTTTCCAACATCTTGAATTGCAAACCCTGCGTCCATGTTTTCACTTAACACATATATTACAAATACTATTGTTACAATCTATGTTTTGAGCAATCAAAACATGACAGGCAAGGAAAATAAGTCATCCAGTAATTTTGCAGAAAAATAATTATATTTAAATGTTAGTGTGTAGTGTGTAGTGTGTGTAGTGTTCGTAGTGTGACTGCACAGTGTAAAATGTTGACCACATACACAGCAACACACTTGGGTATGTAACCTGCTTGTCTCCATGGACATGTTTGAGTTACATAGTGCACCTTAACAAATGTGGTTAATACTAAATTTATTTCACATAATACTAAATTAATTTCACATGGCCCTTAGCGTTGAGTTGAGCTTCTTTGTCCATCTGATCAAAGTTGTTGTTGTTAATGTGCTGTCTCACTCTGTCTCTGAGATGAAAAGAGGCTCGAGCCAGTCTTTGTGCCTCCTCCTGTATCTGCTCTCTCTGCCTCCTCAGCCTCTCTATCTTCCACTCTTTCATCACTACACAGCTCTCCTTCAGCTTCCTCACCTCCTCATCCTCGGCCTGCAACCTCTCTCTCATCTGCTGGTGATACATCTCTCTAAGTCTGTTCCTCTGCTTTACCTGGATGGCTCTGCTTTTGTTCAACTCCATGGCGTGTTGAGTTGCTTTCTCCATCCTCCGCTGACTAACTTCATACAATACTTTTTTGTGCATTAACTGTTCTGTCTTCTGCAGTGACGCCCTAAGCTTTGCCCTGTGAATCTGTGCCTCTTCTTGTGCGACTCTTTCTTTAATCTCCCTTAAATGTGCATCTACAACCTCTGCATGTTTCTTACTACAGATCTCCATTTTTCTTTCCATCTCTCTTCTTCTCTGCTCCTCCACCTCTTCTTCTTCCTGCTCTATTCGCTGCTTCGTAAACACATGTCTCAAAAGCTCTTGTCTATTTTCCTCTTGCAGTCTCCTCCTCTCCTTCATCTCCTGTAGCGCCTTGTTCATCTTCGCTCTCTGCTCCCTCTCCACTGACACCATCCTTTCCCGTTCTAGCACTTTTCTATCTACTTCTTCTTTACCCCTCAATAGCCTCTCCTGATTACGTTTACGTTCCTCTGCTTCCTTCACAGTAGCCATCAGCTTCTCCTTTCTTTGCACCTCAACCTCTTCTTTCAAACGCCTCCATCTATCTTCATGTAAAAGCGCCTCTTGTTCCAGCTGTGTTGATTTCTCCTTCTCCAATTTGTTCCTAATCCTTCTCCTCAATTCCAGCTCCTCATTCCAGCGCTTCATTCCCATCTTTAGCTTTTTCAGTCTCCTTCTCTCCTCCTCCATCTTCTCAGCTTGCTCTTTATGCCTTGCCTCTTTCCTCTCCTGTTCCTCATTGTAACTTTGCTCCAGTCTGATTTGCTCCTCCTCATGCCTTGCCAACATCAGTGCAGCTATTTTACGGTCCTCCTCAGACACTGTAACATTCATTTCTTTATTGATAGCTGTGGCAATTCTCTCCAGTTTCCTTTCACAGGCGGGGGACTGTCTGAGATCTCCAAGACTGATGCTGCAAAGGGTGCTTCTATCTGGCTCCTTATTGCTACTCATAGATTTCCTTTTGAAACACAAATCAGCATATGTTACTGGACGTTCATAGGGTTCATCTTTTTTGCTTTGAGTCCTTGTTGAAGTCCTTGAGATTCCAGGTCCAAATTCTGGTGCTTTTTGATCTCTGGGCCTCTTGTTTTCTGTGCTCCCTTGGATTAATCGCTCCCTCTCCGCCTTGCACATGCGCAACAGCTTTTTTCTTTCTTTTTCATACATCTCGTGCATAACTTTGACGACCTCAAAAGGCACGTCTCGTCGCTCTGTTTTCAACTGGTTCAAAGATTTTATCAAAAGTTCAACAGGTTTAATACCGAGGCGGGCGCAGGACTCCAACGAGCGTGGACTTGTCAAAACGAAGCGACTCCTTTGTGCCTCCACAGATTCAAAGTTGTTCAAATCCAAATGAAGAACCGGAGACGTAGATCGTACTTGTGCCATTGTTAAAAATCAAGCAGGCTTAGATTACTCATCAATTTAAATTACAGTCTTGTTTTGCTGTTCGTCTTGACGCAGCATAGTGAGGTCAGGAAGGGATTACCTGGGTCTTATTCGTAATCACCACCCGCCTCTGTGTCCAGTCCATTTAACGGCTTGAAAAAACCACCAACAAGGAACCCTGCAAAAAATATTACTTGTTAATAGATACCAGTGACCAAATCGCACGCGTAATGTTAGATTGGCGCTATTAAACAACTATAATTCTACTAAGATAACTGTGTGTGTTACTGCAAATTATCTGCACCTACTTGCTGTTGTTGTGGCATTGCAAATCAACCAACACAAAGCAAAAACAGCCATCAAGTGCAGCTGTAAATGATAGGTCTGGCACATGCACCCTTCACAATGGACGCTTTCAGTTCCCATAGAAACATGTCTCTCTAAAATGATGACTTTCACTTTGCCCACAGCGCCATCTAGCGTTCAAGTCATAAAGCGGATCAGATATTTTATTGGGAGGAGATAACGAGCCCTAGCCGTAATAGTCGTGGACTCAATCATGACCTGTTTACAGAAAAATACGCCCATACTACAATTCGACAACAATTTATTAATCCATAACGATCAACTATTGCATTTAAGAACAATTGTTAAAGTTAAATTGTCATACTAAACCATAGCTGGGCGTAGTTTCGATTAGTGATTATCTCCATTGCAGAAACATCTCTGAGAATATTCCTATGACGTATTTCCGCTGTTGCTCCGCCGCTTAGATTTTTACTTCAGTTTCTTAAACCAAAACTTAGCAATTGCATATTTAATTTTAATTGGCATATTAATTATAATTTGAATGCTTTGTTCATGATCAGTGTATGACATGAATACGATAGCTTGCAGTTTAAAAAATACCGAGTGACGAGGAGCGAGACGTTTCCAACGCGCCCTTTTGTCACTATCGAGGAGGCACGTCCACATTCTTGTAGCAACTTGTGGTAAGTTAGTTATTTTCTTTGAAATGGCTTCATGCTGGCTGGTTATTATTGAACAAATGGTGTAAAGTTGTGCAAAGTCTAATGATTGTTTGGTAAGTCCCAGGTTTGCTACTCCTGCTAAAGTTTATGTTGCTAGCATAAACAAATTTACACAAAACCCCAGAAATGTGTCAGTGAGATTGTAAACAAAACAATGTATACTAAACTCACAATCCTGGCTGCTATTAATACAGTCAAATTTACTTTCTTATATAGTGTCACATAGCCTTTTGGACGTTCCTGTTGTAATATAGCCTAAATGTTGTTTTTTTCCGTTTTGAATCAAGTTTTTAGTGACTGAAGATGAGAAGGTCAAAGGGAGATGACGACGATGGCAACAATAGCCACCATAAGGCCGCCACTGTCCGCAAGAGAGATCAGAGGCGTGACAGAGACCATGATAATTCTGGGATGGACTCTGGAAATCTGCAGGATGATGACGACCCAGCCAACAGACGAGAAATACGGAGCAAATACAGAGACTTGATCAACTCCGTGCAACGTGAGTGAGACTTCACCATAGATGATACTTTGATGTTGTCCGCAAGTGCCCTAATTATGATCCTTTGCCTTTCAGAGAATAGAGAGGATATGTTAAATCCTTCCAACAACATGCTCACAGAGGTTTTAGAAGAAGCAAACAAACTTTTCAAAGATGGTATGTATAAACCAAACCAAGTATAACCATCTGCACAGTCTGTTTCTTCTTAATGTAAAACAATATTGTCTCCCCCTCATAGTACGTCAGGCCAGAGAAGCAGCTCTAGATGCTCAGCTCCTAGTTGTGGCCACTGACCTCGGGAAAGAGAAAGCTAGTCAGCTGTGCGCAGATGGTGCTGCTTTTGACCCCACTGCTTTTGCTGAGCGCCTTGTGAGTGCCTATCACAGAAACCGCTTTTTTATGTTGAGTTAATAATGGGCACAAATGTTGCTTAAGGCTTCCTGTTTCATCTGTTAGTTAAACTTCATGGGGCTAAACCGGTTAGAGAATAGAGAGGATGATCAGCAGAACGGAGGCGAGGGATACCTGCCCGATGATGCGTGGGACAGAGTGGCCCGTAGAGCAGAGTGCTGCTTCAGAACTGCCCCAACTTTCCACTATATGTGAGTGGTTGAGTAACTACTGTATAATTAGTATTCAATGTATGACTCTCATCCCCTTTTTAATTGGATGCAAACATTTTTTTTCTAGGTTGGGTTCATTTCATGCAGAGCCTCCTCCCCCAAAACAACGAACTGAAAGGCAAACAAGAGCACCAAACAAAGAAGCAAAAAGAATTATGCCAACTCAGGTAAATTTAGTTTTTAAAGATTCTCACTGAACTGGAGTCCATGCATATTGTATTATTACAGCGGTATAACCTGTATTGTGGTGGTTGTAACATCTGTATTTTTGGGGCATGCTTTACTGTGTAACATATAGAAATAACTCTTAAGTCTTAAATGTTGTGCTTGTAGCTTAAGAAAATGGAAGAATCTCACCAAGAGGCAACAGAAAAAGAGGTGGAGAGGATCCTGGGATGCCTAAAGAGTTATTACCAAGATGACCGTGAGTTGTGCTTATGATGATGTACTGTATTGTTATGATTGATTTAATAAATCTAATATCACTTATGTCTAATTTGCAGCATCAACTCCAATATCATATTACGAATTTGTCATTGACCCCAACTCATTTTCCAGAACTGTAGAAAATATGTTCCACACATCTTTTTTAATCAGGGTAAGATTTTGTTTATGCATGAGGTAATTTTCATCAGGCCTTTTGCTGGTATAATGTCCTCATTTGTTTCTCAGGATGGTTTGGCTCGTGTGTATTTAGATGATGACAAATTGCCTTGTATAGGTAACTTGATACTGTATTTTTATTTTTTTTTTTACAATAATTAAAACAAATGTTAGTTTGACAGAGAATGTTTTTTTTTTTTTTTAATTATAGCTCCTGCAGAAGAAGACGGAATGGAGGATGGAGCATCAACAAGTCGAAAACAATGTGTAACATCAATTAGTCTTAAAACATGGAAGGTAAGTACTTTTTATAGAGATCACTACACCCAGATATCAGCATCAGCGGCTATTAACTGGTATTGTCAATGTACATAATCTACGAAAGCTCTCCAATTTATCTCTTATCTCTATCTATCTTATAATTCACATTTTATAGTGAACATGCATCAACAAAAAAGAAAAAAAAAAAAGAGGACATTGGACATTTTTGCTTGAATTATCGCAAGGGAACTGCACTCTGTTGGCCTCTGGTGGTAAAATCTGTATATCACCATATGCTTGGAGCATTGTGATAATCAGATAATATTTTGGAAATGGGATATAACATGCCTTTAGATTGAATAACTTAGGTTTGACTAAGACAGACAAATGTGATGGGGCTTAAAAATGACTCACAAAAGTTATTGTCTACCCTTATTCCATTTTTATTTTTTTAATCAGCTCTTTTTTGCAACTTTAGTCATAGTTTTTATTTGCATATCTGCAAAATAAGCCTCACAGTATTGTCCATAATAGAGCCCGACCGATATGGATTTTGTTGTGGCCGATATGAAACCGATATACTGGGAATTGGAGCTGCCGATAGCCGATATATTTAGTGATGTAAAAATTCACTGTAAATCTTGAATTGTTTAAAAAACTTAGGTTTGGCTCTAGTGCAGGGGCGGGGAAACTTTCTGGCTCGCGGGCCACATAAGGTCCTAAAGTTTGACTGAAGGGCCGGATAGAAGATAGGACATAACGTGTTAAGAGCTCAGATTTATTACATTCTTATTCACATTTATCTAGGACTTCAGACGCGCGCTACACGTTCCATCTCTGCTGTGAAAGATCCAGAACACATAAAACTGTTGAGACCTGTTCCACTGCACACCATGAGTGAAAATATATTGTGAGTTCACCATTTTCAAATATGGCTGGTAACAGTTCAAAAATAGAGCTCACACCGTTCAACCACAGATACACAACTGTGAGTGCAGAAAAACCTGACTTCAATATGTTGTTCACATTGACAACTACATCTCAGAGACCACAGGTTTCCTTGATTGATTTTTACCAACCCAAAATGGAAGCAGTGCAGTCTTATATTTTAAGCACCAACTACTTCACTCATGGTCCGAATAACTCCTGTAAGAACACTTTCCCATAAAGCATTGCGGCCAACATAATACGCCGCAACTCAATGTATGTATGTATGTATGTATATATATATATATGTATAGTGCGCCATCTACAGGGAAACGCTGGAAATGCACGACAAATAAAACATCAACAATGTTTATTATTGTAATTTATTCCAGTTCGGCGGGCTGGATTAAAAGGTTAAAGGGCCGCATACGGCTGTATGCCCCACCCCTGCTCTAGTGGCTTCTAAATTGGGTTTATTTAGGCAACATTTATTGTTATTCTGACTCTTTACATCATATTTATATACAGTAGATTGGCCTAATGGCATTTTTGCATCACATTCTAGCTACTAGTGATGGGTATTCCAGTTTTTTTTTTTTTTTTTTGGAGAACCGGCTCTTTTGACTCGGCTCACTAAAGCAGCTGGCTCTTTCGGCTCCCAAGCGACTCTTGAGATTGTTATGTTGCAAGCAGGACTAAACTAAACCAAAACTGAACCAGGACTAAAACAGGTTTAAACCATGTGTAAAACAGGACTAAACCGGAAATGAACCAGGACTGAGTGTCGGGACTCGGTCTCTCCCTCACTCGAGCCCAAGATTAGTCTTGGTTTATTCATTTTATGCAGCCAAATATGCACTTTTTTATCCTATGCACACGCAGATTTCTGAAAGTTTCGTTTTCAGCCGCTGCTGCTGTCAAACTACGGGTCTACAAGCGGCTTGAAGAGAAAAAGTGAGAAAAAGAGAAAACACGGCTCCCAATAAGAAACATGCTCCCGTTGTTCGCTTCAAAGAGCCGGCTCTAAGAGCCACTTCGATCGCGACCGACCCATAACTCCTAGCTAGTAAATAAACAATCGCTATTAGCCTTTAGCCGTAAAAACGTGCGCGCCGCGGTAATTAATAATATGCATAAATGTGGATAATTCACACGTCTATTCACAGCTCATTTACATATCAATGCTGGTCCAGTAACAAATATACGGCCAATACAGTCACTTTACAATAGACCAATAGAAGAGAAAACAGTCTGTTTATGTGCGGGAGCTACAGCAGCTAATCGCTAATAACAAATAGCGAAAACTAGCTTCAAAGTCGATGTATTTCCAACACTCACCGCTCATACAGGCTCCTCCTCACATCACAAGTCTGCACTAATAAAAGTCCTTTTAATCCAGACTCAAACCGATTGTCCGTAAAAAGAATATAATCTCAGTGTTGCGCACCGCTGCGGGTGTAAACAATAATGGGGGTGTGTTCAGGGATAGTACGGACACAGACACAGACAAATTACACCGCAGATAAATACTGATGTGGAGCCACATATTAGGACATTTATCTGTCTGTAAATTGGATTAAATCAGTGCTTCTCAAATAGTGGGGCGGGCCCCCCTGGGGGGGCGCGAGGCTCCGTCAAGGGGGGCGCGTTTGACCTCGGGGAACATGCTTTTTTATTTTGATTTTTTTTTACTGTCCTAGAATAAAGTGCAATTGCACTTCCACTACATTAGGGGGGCAGTGGCGCTCTCATTGGCAGAGTGTGCGCAGGGAGCATTCGCTCGGTGGTGTAGGAGTTTTGTTTGCACTGAGCATGCGCGCTTTGCACACAGCACAGAGTTTGAGTATGAAGTGTAGACACGAAGTGTAGCAGATCCTCAAGTGACACCATGAAAAAATATTTAACAGAGATGAGAAAACAGGCGGAGAGAGACGGAGATAAAGAGACAAACGAAAATCTCCCGAAAGCTAAGACGAGGAAATATGACGAAGTGTATGTAGCGCTTGGCTTCACTGTGACTACGGTGGGAGACGAGGAAAGACCCGTGTGCTTACTGTGTCTAAAAATGTTGGCAGCGGACAGCATGAAGCCCAATAAATTAAGGCGTCACTTAAATACATTACACCCCAATCACTCTGATAAGCCGCTTGAGATTTTTCAGCGAAAACGTGCCGAATATTGCCGACAATCATCCCGCTTTGTGACTGCTACTTCAGTACTTTTATTCTCTTATACGTTAATAAGGATACAGTGTTATGCAGAGGTGTACTTATAACAGTTTTATAGACAAATTATACTATTTATAGTCACGCGGGGGGGCGCGAGATGTTTTATTCTTCCTAGGGGGGCATGACAGAAAATAATTGAGAAGCACTGGATTAAATGAACATAATGTAGAGAGTCTAAGCTTTATAACGAGGTATAACATGCCCACGTGAAATATCGGCCCATATCAGCAAGCATATCGGTTGATAGCCGATGTCTCCAGGTGCCCATATCGGTCAATAATATCGGCCATCCGATATATCGGTCGGGCTTTAGTCCATAATTTGATACATTGCCCACCTCTACTTTGAAGTATTGGAATTACTGGAAACATCATGCAATGTTTTACTGATTGATACAAATGATTAGATAAGCAAAGCAAACATAATGTCGTATGATCTTTCAACTCTTTGCTTTCTTTAGGAGCTGATAAAAGCCTTCGACATTACATACACAATGATCCATCCTCTGAACACGTCGCAGACTGAGTGATGGACAGTTATAAGCTGTTAAACCCCAACATTTTTATATCGGTTAAACATTCTTTTATATTTGGTATGTATGTAAACTGCATATGATTTATTTAATGGTTTTAAAATTTTAATAAAAGCAAAATAGACACTGCTGTGTGTGTAGGTTTGATATCTTTACACATAGGCCTGTCACAATAAAAAAGTATTGTTTGTATTGTACTGAAATATTGTTACAGAAAATATACTAGTACTTGATAAATGATAATACTGAAACTACTTATAGCCACTGACACCTAACACCACACACATTGTATTTTTATTACATTAAAATACAATAAAATAAATAAGCAATAAAGAAAACATGAGCTGCAATAAATAAACAGCAAAATGAAATGCAAAAGTATTTGTAATTAATGAGTTGTAAATGTTAATTATTCAGCCCTTCTAGAGTGCAAATGGTAATGAACAATGGAAAGATCTTAATTCTTGTGATGTGATATCAGAAGTTTAGTATTTATAGATAACCAATGACTGAATAACTGTTCTGGTTATTTCTATATTATCAGAATTTTTCAACTGCCCTTCCTATGACACACTTGGTCACAGATCCCAAGATTAACACATTTATTTAACTTACTTTCCCAGCTACTTTTGGGCTGCATGTAGTGGGATACACTTCAGTAACAGGACAGACATTCCTGAACATGAATTTCATCCAGTTCATGCAAGAAAATATTGCAATGTATTTTTTTTGCTTTTTCAAGTCATTAATCATGATGTAACAGAAGCACTGTAAATGCTTCTAGATTTTTAAAGAAACAGGCTCTACTGATGCTGCTTGCTCTGCTTCCCTCTCTCCCTCTCTGTGGTTTTCCCTCCAAAGTGGTGCATGTGTGTGCTCAGCCATGCAGTGATGGGAGACTGAACTGCACATGAGACTGGAGAAAAGCTGAGCTACAATCGCACGCTCATTTGATTAGGCTGCTGCTGCTGTGTAGACTTTAAATAACAATGGCTTAAAAATCTATGCCAGTGGCGCTGTAAGGGAGACAGAGGCGGACACACGCGCTCACTGTTGCTCCTGCATAGATCTTGGCTGTCTCGGCGATGCTGTGCTCTGCGATCGGCAAGGATGCAGTTCTGCAGGAAGGTTTTGTGCAAGCCGTGTAGCGCTCGAGTCACTTCCCCAGAGGAGGACATGGAATACAAGATGGGCAGCTGCATCGGGATAGCAAACAGGAAGGTAAATAACAGAGGTATTATTGGTCTTAATGCTTTAATCAAGGTGTTATGCTGAGAGATGCTGAGTTAAGGCAGTCTGCACTCTCATATTGGAGGAGGGGCGGTGTCAAGGCTCTGTGGGAGAAGAGCTGTGATGGCAAAGGAGGAGTCAGAAATGATTACTACAAGAATAAAATGGACAAAATGTGCAGTAAACTTGGCTTATATGGTGATTGTGAATAACAGGGTATGGTCATGCTGCTACTGTGTATTCTGTATCCACATCCAACTACAAGGAGGGTACACTTTGTGCTAGTTACAAACCTGGATAAACTGAGAAATCATGCTGTGTCAGATCAGAAAGGGAACAGTGGAAATCAGTGATAACTATGTACACAGACTGTAGTTTGGTTATGGGAAATTCATCAATCTTTGTGTCAGACCCAAGCCAACACAAATGAGTTACACAAACTAGTAAAGTAAATAGTAAAGTGCATAAAAAGTCTATGATGTTACACAAATTCTATGAGGTGACTGGCTGCACTGGATCAGAGATTGTATTTATCCAGTTGCCAAATTGGCAATATAAATGCTATAATTAGCTTGGTAATTGAGCTCTTTTTAAGCATGTGCCAGTCTGTTTTGTTTCTATGTTTTCTTTACTTTCAGCCACATCCTCTTAGTGTTCATTGATTTATTGTATGCATTTATGCTTCCCTTTTTGGTGCATTCCTCTACATTTATCAAGGCTTTCGAACTGTCCATATACCACATGCTTTATTCAGCAATCATTAAGACTGTTATTATTATTGATAAATCTTTTTGGGTGAAGAGCTAAGCTTAAGACCTAGGCTAGATATCTACTTTTTGAAACTAGTATTGTTGTTTTGGCTGACATTGAGGGTCTAGAAACTCCTTGAACATACTTGAAGTGCCAACAGCTCCAACTGGATTTATACAGTCAACATTTCCAATTCTAGCTGATGGTTTTAACTGTTCTTACACCTCATCTAGTTTGGCATTTGTTTACAGTGTTGCCTGTGACTCCCCCTCAGCTGACAGTCTCCCAGACCGTTACCCCCCAGTGCTGCGTCAAGAAACCATGGCTCTCCCAGCTCCTGTTCTGTCCACTTAAATATGTTTCTTCCTGTCCCATGCCCACCTAGCGACCCCTTCGGCCTGGTGTCCTTTCCTCTCACTCGCTGTGCACTTCCAAAATAGCTTCAGAAACAGGCAGGGGCACTCTGAAGACAGGGAGCAAAACACTGCAGGGCTTCTTCTGGACAAAAACACACTGGATTAAACATTTGTTTCAGACAGATTGAGAAGATCTGTGGTGAGTAGTGACAATGTTTGGGTTTAGATATTTAAACATGCATTGTAGATTGTTAATATTGGTAATAGTTTTTTACATTTTGGCATTTGAAATCAAGAATTGTTATGGGTATGATATGCTATAATAAAAATGACTGAGCCTGATCAACATAAATTCAAACCATGCATTATGTTTTCGTATACTGACATTAGTGAAAACCCCTAAACTCATAAATGATTGTATATAGTTTCTCACTATGTAAAAATATGGCTCTTTTGATGAGCAATATAATATAGTTCCATTAAAACTTAAACAAGCACTTATATTACCCAGAAATACAATGTTATTAGTCTGTGTTATCAAGAACAAAGAGCTTGTTATGAAACTTTAAATGTATCTATGAATAATCTTGAAAATTAGCTTATGTAACAGGTGATGGACAGGCCAAGTGAAGTGATAAGACAGTGATTGGCTAGAGTGTCTTTGTTGCTGCCAAATCTCATGTAAACAGTGCAGCCAGTGAAAGTGCACATGCTTCCAGACTGAGGAGGAATGAAATTACACCCCATTCACACAAATAGCCAGTGGACAGAATGAGACACAGCATGACCTAAGTGTAGCAAAGGAAGACACATAAAAGAAATGACGATAGGCCTAATTTCCCCTTTTATCTCATCAGGAAGGAAATATAAATATTGAAATGCATGTTAAGCATTGCAGTCATTAGGGATGTGTTTGTGGTTAATTGCTCAAAAGAATGAACAAGAAAAAAATCTATTTATACTCTAAGTTGATATATTCAGGTCAGTGATTTCTGACTAAACTGAAAGTCCCTGCGGAGCTATGAGCAATGCATGACCAGAAGAGTGAGAGCAAGTGAATTAGGTCTTGTCTACAATGTGAAGATGATTTGAGCTAAGGTATTCTTTTAAAAAAATACTCTAGATTGCAGCTTTTTAGGTGACAAAGGTCTAAGAGTTTTGTTTTGCCTGAATGAAACTAGTGCAATATGAATACATTTTTATTCCTTTTTACTGTAATCAACAACAACAACAACAACAACCTCACTAAGTAACTACTTCCTAACATTTAAGGGACATTTGAACACACTTACACTATAAATTAGGCCAGCTATGCCATCTTCTGTTTACATGTTATATGAATTGGAGCATCTACTATGTCAACATTTGCATCCTACACAGGCTCTTGATCATTGTTTTTCAAGCTGTGGTATGTGGTATACTGCCCAGGGTGCCTTTAGTGGTACATGGCCTTCTGCATACTGCGTATCTTATTTCTTTTATTTAGATACAAGTCTATCAATGTGTTTTTTCTCTTTGGGATGAATTATTATTTAGAATAACCACAGTGTTTGGTCTTATTTTAGACTTCTGGGTTTATTTCTGGTGGTACTTTGAAAGTCAAATATGATCTGAGTACTGCAGCACTTAGTAGGCCTACTAGTTTGTTAAACATCTCTGTTTGAGTTTAGCTTATTAGACGAACCCTATGGAGTCCTATAGGCTTCTTTGGCCCTGTAGAGAGGTCTTTAATGCCATTCCCCCCAGACCACTTTAATCCCACTGAGTACAGTCTGCTCACTTACTCAGAGCCGGACCTGTCTTGGGCTGGATGGATGGATGCTCAGGTACAGACCCACGGGACACAGAGACAGAGGGACAGCTGCTGATGTGAGACTTTGGACAGGTGTAGTCACGTGGTCATCATGGGCAATGAAAACAGCGCAGCAGAGGCTCTGGTAAGGACATAACAGGGTTGTATTAGATATAAAACAATTACAATGCGGTTTACTGAAGTAGTTTTAGCTACCACTAATGGCACATGACATGCTGGCTTTACTAACAACATACGAGTTTTTAATTACAGCGTTGGATGTAAGACAAAATACGCACTTAAATGCGCTGTTGCTATTAACATTTTATTACCTTGCTTTTAACTTGCTGGATTAAATATGTGCATTAAATATAATTTTATGATGATCTGACTAACTTTGCATTCACAGATGATGCAAAGATTGTTAGCAACTAGTTAGCTTGCTAGCTTTATTATTTTTGACGCAGCCGCTCAAGTTGGTCTGGCATGTGACTGTATTTTTCAAGGTATTTTGGATTATCTTAATAGGATTTACTTAAATATTGTCTTATGATCTATACAGCCCATAGGGTATGTAGGTATGCTTTGTTAGAGATTGCAGCTCATATTGTTGCTTTAGTGCAAAGTTATAGTGGGTTAAATTTAATACATTGCAGGTTTTTGACTTTCATTTCCTTTCCAGCCAGAAGAGGGCGCTCCAGAAAGTGTTGTTCTGTTTCCACCTCAGGAAAATCACTCTCAGGAGGTACAGTGTTTGTGTTATGTCCATAGATCTATTATGGGCTTGTGATC